GAGCCTTTTGATTAAAGACTTATCTTTTGTTACCTAATTTTCTATTGCATGTTGCCGGACTATTGACAGTAAGGTCGTGTTTGACTAAGCCCAAGGTTACGGCGTGGTTCAGTGTGTGACTGCTAACCTTTTGGCTGTCTCCTTGGGAGGATTGCTGGAATCCCTGCAGATAGATATTTGATCCCATTTTGTTGGGAATATTTTATTGATTCTCAGGTATTGAACCCTTTGGTATTAACCGTTTCTTTTATCGTTTAGTGCGCTACTTTGCGTTAGAGAAACTTCTGACTGTATAGCACAGGCTGTACCGTTCAAGGTATTTCGTATTTTTGATATAATTTATTTTATTTCCTAAATTAAAACCGTTTAAATTGAGCACGAAGTTTGTGTTTTGGTATAATTCAATACGAGTGTCTCAAAAACGCTTTGTAGGCTATACAGAAGAACGTAATCTGGCCTATTCGAATACATTTGGTTCGTCACTCCTGCATTCTAACCGAATACTGGCAAATCGACCGTTACAAGCACAGCCAATGGATAAGATGCACATTGAGGAATGCACACAACTGCGTCACAAGACAAGCCCTCACATGGAATCCTCAAGGTCAAAGGAGGAGAAAAAGACCAAAGAACACATTACGCTGAGAAATTGAAATGGACATGAGAAAAGTGAACAAAAATTGAATAGAACTGGAAAGGAAGGCCCCTAAGACAACCACATGCTTCGGTTTGAGCACCCGAGCAGTATCACAGCCCTTAAACAAATCAAATGAGATTTGTGTGGTGCATATGTATCTGGTGCTCACTTGTACCAATATCTATGTGTTCCAATAAATAAGTAAAATAAAATTTCAACATAACACTTGCAAACGTTTGTAATCAACATCCTAACGATTGTACAAATCCGGAATGGATTAAATTGAATATCTCATTCGCATTTTCTAACAACAAGATAATGTGATCCAGTAAATTCTTATCTATCATTGTTACTAATTGAATAATAACACTTTTAATTCGTCAATTAATTTTCCCATCATGATGTAAATGAAATTATGTATGTTCAGCAACAATAGTTTAATTTAGATAATAATACAATTGAAAATCAGTTTTCCTGATTATAAATATACGTTATTAGAAGCTAACAATTTCGGTTTAATGAATAATTCTATACTAGATTATCCTTTGAATATTATAAAATCAATTTTATATCGATTATCGATCAACTGATTGTAATCATCTTTTTTTTTCAAGACTTCAATTGATAATTTATTTTGACAATAACACCAGACAATTTAGGGAACAAATTTAACATATTAATAATAACAAGTACATTATTATGATTGATTAGCTATAAGTCTATTACTGTTTCATAACTACTAGAATTTATACGTTTACAGATCATTTCTATGTTTTATAAGCCTTTAACAACAAACAATGTAAAATGAAATGATTTTCCATGCAATTGGTTCCCTTTATGAATTTAAATAGAGCAAGAACAAACATTGATGCAGAATAGTATGAATTCATATTATTTTGAGGTTTCTGGTCAGCTGCTTACAAATCAAAATTGACCTCTGACCTGTTCTTATTGTAATCCAGTTATTTACACTAATTTATGTCAGTTGTTTCACACTATCTCCATGTAAAAAATTCTATCACAATTTTGGTTAAATACTTGTCGCTACCCGACACGAATTAGCTTCACTGGCCACGGCTTTTCATTAGAACTATGAGAATTCCCTCACGAAGCTATTCACAAGTGAACACATGGTAATTATCAGTATGGGGTTGTGAAGATTATTAGGTTTTTGATTGAGATCATGAATCAGTTGATGTTAGACCATCACTGGAAACCTGGAAGCACTGGACGGCCGTTTCGTCCTATTTTGGTTTATTTTAATTAGAAAAATCCCTTTTCTATTCAATTGAATTGATTGAATATTGATAATATTCTTTTATTTTTGTAAAATTACATCTTAAGAATCTATCCTACTATTAATAAATAAGACTGACGAATGACTAACAACTTCAGTTTTCGTTCATAACCTCGATAAACACGACTATTTTCAGTCACATATACAACGACTATCATTCACTGGGATTTAATTCCATTTTTATTTTTCGAAATAAATCTATTACGCTCATTATGTTTATTATTATACCAACTAGTATCAGTGTTTGTTATTATTATCATTACTACGAATAATAACACTAATACTACTGTTATAACTAACAATACGAAGCATCTTCAGTGTTTTAATCCCTCTATTGATGTTCCAATCATAGTCCCCTTTATAGTCATTAATTTAATTTTGACCATTATGACCACTTCAGCAGTTATATAATATACCCTCGTGGGCCAGAATAATTTTACATTGATTTCAGGAGAACCAGACACCGTCCAGACTTTCACGTGACAACCCAAACAGTACATCTCAACCACGTTTAACAGGAGAGCAAGACATCGCCCACGCTTAAATTTTATAAACCAAGAAGTACAGCTCAATCCCGCTTCACAGGGGAACCAGACACCGCATAAGCTTTAACGCTACAATTTGAAAACCACAGCTCAATCCCGTGGTGCAACCACACACGTACCAAGAACCCTGGCGGACCCATTGGACCCAAGCTGGACAAGAAAGACTAAATACAGGAGAGATGCTGCTATACTCCGACCACGAAGAGAAAAATGCCCCACCCACTCAGGGAGTTGCTCTAATGCTGTCCAAAGTAGCACGAAATGCATTTGTAGGATGGGAATCTCACGGATCCAGAATCATCAAAGCATCATTCAAAATAAAGTAGGAGGTGATCACAATGAATACTACCAACGATGACATTAAAGATCAGTTCTACGAGCGGCTACAGTCAGTCATAGAGAAATGCTCAAGAAAGGACCTCACCATTCTGATGGGAGATTTAAATGCCAAAGTCGGAATAGACAACAACGGATATGAAAATATTATGGGACGACATGGACTGGGACAGAGAAACGAAAATGGAGAAAGATTTGCAAATTTGTGTGCATTCAACAAATTAGTCATAGGAGGCACAATATTTCCACACAAACGTATACACAAAGCTACATGGATCTCACCGGACTACACTACAGAGAACCCTATAGATCATATTTGCATCTGTCTAAGTCCTAAACATCAGTGGGAAGATTTAAATAACCAATACCAAATGAACTAGTATTATTATGACCAAAAATGATTGACAAAAGAAACAGTAATTATGATATTGATAACTTATTCTTTAAAGTAATTACTGTAAATAACCAATACTTAATGAGTTGATGCTTTATCCCATTGCATAAGCTAGTGGCTATTAGAACGCAGTAACTAAGTGGGTAACGTGATGGCGTTTGAAGTTAATTGTACTGGGTTTGACCCCCGGAGTCAATATCAATACGGATGCAGGTACATCCAGTGAACTAGTTACAAATAGGACGAAACACGCATCCAAGATTACACTACCAGCCACCAGCCCCCATTAATAATATAATTTCATAACTGGAAAAAACTATTTCCTATTTATAAATTATTTGTTACAGAGATCTATCTTGCATTATATAGATAAGAGTATTCAATACGAATAGTTTTAATGAGACAGTTAATGATCAGTCTATTTTGTAGAATAAATATATATTCTATAAGTTACATAAGTTTTAATGAATAGCAGGAAATTAAAAACTTATTTCTGTTAGAAACCAAATTTAGTACTTATTTCACTCTAATCACCTGATATTGTTAATTATTGTGTTTCAACTGCATCATACAGTTGCGCATAACTTAGAAATATTGATTTTTACTATTTTAAACATCTTTTGTTGTGAAACAATACACTTATGGCTTAGCTTTTCACTCAAAGAGAATGGGACAAAATGTGTTACTAACCATATATATATATATATATATATATATATATATATATATATATATATATATATATATATATATATATATATCAGAGTCAACATCAATCTCTGGTTAATCGATCACTCTTACTTGTCTGTCAAGAATTATCGATAGGTATCTTCGATTCATTCATGTTGTTTGTTAGTTTAGACATTTTAAATATGAAGGAGTAGTTTAGTTCTAATATTTTAGGATTCTGCTATATTTCTGTTCACATTAGATCTCCGGCTTTTACTAACTAGGCACGACTGAGATCTCTTTCAATAAAAATAGGAACTAATGCGAACTCAATAGTAACATTACTGAAACACACAACATTGCAACCATTATTCCAAATACGATGAGACCTAGGAAGAAGATAGGAGTGCGAAAAAAGTGACATTTTATAAGTCGAAGTAAAATGGAAAAAAACTATCCACCAACAAGATATGACTTTAAGGAACAAATGATTGGCAAGCCGAAATTGTTATCAACTAAACAGAAAACGCCAAAATCGTGCAAAAATTAGGAAAATTTTTATCAAAGTTATTTTTTATGGAAGAATTAACATTTACTAACAAAGATTCGATAACCTGTGATCTTGACAGGATCATTAGTAGACTTTTTAAATAATTTTTATGAAAATTCAACATCACCCATAGAACAGTTCAAAAACGGGATAGAAATTAACACTACTCTCATTTTAAGTTTGTGAACCATAATCTACTACACTATATGAGTTTAGATCTAACACATCTAAACGTCGAAATGATCACAAAACATTTGAATCCCAATTTAGTATTGAATCGATTTGAACTTGAAATGAATATGATCAGTGAATGACTATCCTATTTCAGATTTAACTTTAAATTACATTATTTACTATCAGAATGGGTTTTGTGGAGAATTTTAGAAATTTCACAGGTTGAAATCATGAGTCAGTTGACGCTAGACCACCATTGAAAACCTGGAAGCACTGGACAGCCGTTTCGTCCTAGTATGGGACTCCTCAGCAGTGCGCATCCACGATCCCACACCACGCGGGGCTCGAACCCAGGACCTACTAGCTTCGCGCTTCAATCGAAAAATTATAAAGAAGCATTGATAAATGAACATCTGTTTTATTGTGTAGGTCATTTTGTTTCTTCAATAATGTAATTACATAAACGCTAGTGATTATGAGATAATGATATAAAATTATTGAGTTAGTCACTAACTACAAAGAGAGAATATGTATTTATGTAATTAAACTAATTTTGATGAGTAAAATAATTATAAGGAGAAAAAAAATCATGGGAAAGGAAAACATGGCAAATATCTATTAGAAAAGAAGAAATATTAGTCTGAAATAACTAAGATGAAAATTACAAAAAAAACTATTACATAATAACGTACAAAACATGAGGATTAAAATAATGAATCAATATTACAATTACATAAGAGCGCTAATTTCATTTTATGATTCATTTTTCCCCATATGAATTAAAAATAGAGAGAGAGGGGGGAAGGAGGGAGGGAGTTAGGAAGAAATAATAGAGATACATAAAGGAAGGGAGATAGAAAGTGGAATTGTAATAGAAAGACAACAAAAATGATTCATTATTAGTTGATCAAATAATTTCCTTAACTTTCATGTGTTTTTTTCAGGTGATTGTATTCACTTCAAACTTCTACATTTTTCTATCTCAATGTAAATGAACATTTATCTTGACAAATAAACTTCAATTGAGAAGAGCATAAGAAAATACCTTTGATGCACAATAGTAAAGGGTGAATAAAGTGAACATTAATCATGATTATTATGGAATGCACATATTATGGTGTACACATAAACACACTTAGATACTGCATGTATATGCAATTATGATTGTTTTTCATTAAAAATAAAAGGAAAATCAATGATGACATATACATAAATTGAAAAATCTGAAAAGATTGTAAATCATATTGAATGTGAATTTCTTCATCTGTTATTATTATCATTATTCATTATTATTATTTCTGCTAAAAAAACATCTTTATTTCCTATCGAATACACGATCTACAGAAATTTCTAACTTTGAATTTTTTCTTTGTTTTCCCTGAATTATCCTCTTCAATGTTTTGCTCTTCTGTTGTACACGAATTCACTTCATAATGATCATTGGGATTATTTTCTGGAATCTCCGAATTTTCGGGGTCAATTAAAGCTGAATCAAATTGATAGAGTAGGTTAATAGAGTACAAGATATAAGTAATTAACGAATAAATCACAGATCACTTTTAAATAAACATATATATATCTTTTAAATCAAGAACTGATCTCATTTAGACCACCACTAAAACCTGGAAGCCTAGGTATCCTAATATGGGACTCCTCAGTAATGGGCATCCATGACCTTGCATTTGCACCAGTGCTTAGCATTTAGACCATTGAGCCGACATCCAACCGCGTTACTATCTAACTTCAATCACACCTGATGTTGTGTAGCCCTTATTGATTTCCTGCGATGGATATTTACGTTACTCCTGACATGGTTGAACTCCTCTAGTCGCTTCTTATCAAATGAACCTAATTTATTTTTTTCGTTAAAGAGTAAAATTTAGCTTATTATAACTTATAAAGTCACATGTACTACACAATTAATCTAATGTGGATTTTCACTCAAGTCATAAATTAAGCTAAATCTGAGAGTAATTTCAACCACAGACTTATATGATCTAGAAATGAATTAAAAAAGACAAAGTAGCACCCAACAACAATTTTTTTTCCCGAGTTTCCTTACTGATCTACACCTACGAACCTGTAAACGATTGATCTTTATTTTTAGTAGCAGGCACTATATTTCTTGACTAATTAATCAAAATTCAATGATTTATATTAATTGTGACATTAATTGCATTAATTAAAGTGATAATCTGTGTTTGTAATTGATTTTTTTTATTAAAAAAAATAGAAAAAAACAGTAGAAACGCAGATTAATTCATGGTCACAGTTAACATTAAAACAAACAACTAAAAAAAATATCTAAATCTTCTTAAACGTGAAATAATACACACTTACACAACAGGTTATCATGGTATAACATTCTTGAAAAAATATATATACGTAGGTAACTATGACGATAAATAGTAGAATGTTTAAACTGTAGGCTAGCTACAATTATCAATGTTTATTCATAAGAAATGTATAGCAGATAGCTTGAATATCTACTTATGACTGAAACGTTCGTTATATTCTTTCACTGTGAGAATTGAATCAGGACTTTATGTGTAATTCGGAAAGAATCACATACAAAGAAATATTTTCAATAATTAAATACAGTAGATGGATATAAGTATAATTATGTTGTATAATAACGGATACTAGTAAAAGCTACATTTCTCTTTGATTTATTATTATTATTATTCATTTACATGGCCTATATCAAGTTATTGATAATATGCACACAGATTTCGGAGATCTATGACTAAGCTAATCATTCGAATATTTTAGAAAATATATTCGTTACTACTATCCACAGTTTTAAAATTTGTTGAGAAAAACCATCTATATGATTTATAGGCATCAGTGCAAAAGTTGGACTTGATAGTTTCAAATGAATTGAGCATTGGATAATAAATATATTTTTTTTGTATCCTAGTCAGTAAAATAAATTGTATTTTTGACGTTTCGTGATTTAATGTAAGCCACTTCTTCACAGTAACTCCGCCTGGAGTCCCTCTGAGGGCTACTGACATGAAGAAGAAAATGCTCCATATACACAAGGAGTTGCATTGATGCTGTTCAAACAAGCACAAAATGCATTTATAGGATGAGAATCTCATGGACCCAGGATCATCAAAGCCTCCTTCAAAACAAAGAAAGAGGGCATTTCAATGAACATCATCCAATGCTATCCGCCTACCAACGACTACAATGAAAACGTGAAAGACCAATTCTACGGTAGGCTGCAGTCAATCGTCGAGAAGTGCCCAAAAAAGGACTTGGCCGTTCTGATGGAAGACTTAAATGCCATGGTTGGAAAGGACAGCAATAGATATGAAGACATCATCGGATGACACGGACTGGGAGAAAGGAAATAAATTGGTGAGAGATTTGCAAACCTATATGCCTTCAATAAACTGGTCATAGGCGACACTATATTCCCACATGAATGCATTCACAAAACCACATAGACTTCACCAGATCACATTACGCAAAACTGAATCGACCATATCTGCATCAACAAAAAGTTCAGGCGGACGATTCAGGATGTGAGAAACAAGAGAGGAGCTGGTATAGCATCAGATCATCACTTGCTGGTCGCCAAGATGAAATTGTAACTCAATAAGTACTGAACAACGCGGCGGACAATATCACAAAAGTTTAATACGGCTTTTCTTCAGGATACTGACAAACTCAACAAATTCAAGATAGTTCTCAGCAAACAAGTTCCAGGCCTTTCATGATCTACTCAATGGAGAAGGAACTACTGTGTAGAGCAACTGGAAGGGGATCAGAGAGGCAATCACTTCAACATATCATGAGGTCCTGGGCCACAAGAAGCACCACTGCAAGGAGTGGATCACTGTTGATATACTGGATAAGATTCAAGAAAGGAGGAACAAGAAAGTAGCAATCAATACCAGCCGAACAAGAGCACAGAAAGCCAAAGCACAAGCTGAATACACAAAAGTAAACAAGTAGGTGAAGAGGAGCATCAGAACCAACAAACGTAAATATGTCGAGGATTTGGCAATGACGGCGGAAAAGGCCGTAAGAGAAGGAAACATGAGACAATTGTATGACATAACAAAGAAGCTCGCTGGAAATTATCGTAAACCAGAACGACCAGTGAAAAGCAAGGAGGGCAAGGTAATCACTAACATTGAAGAACAGCGAAACAGGTGGGTAGAACACTTCAAAGGACTTTTGAATTGACCAGCCCCACTGTACCCACCCAACATCGAAGCAGCACCCACGGACATCCCAATCAATGTTGGCACACCAACAATTGAAGAAATCAGCATGGCCATCAGACAAATCAAGAGTGGCAAAGCAGCAGGACCGGACAGCATCCAAGCAGAGGCACTAAAAGCAGACGTAGTGGCAAATGCAAGGATACTCCACATTCTCTGCAGCAAGATTTGGGATAAAGAACAAGTACCAAAAGACTGGAAAGAAGGACTCCTGATCAAAATAACAATGAAAAGCGATCTCACCAACTGTGATAACTACAGGGGCATAACTTTTCTCTCAATACCGGGAAAAGTCCTCAACAGGGTATTTTCAAACAAAATGAAGGACTCCGTAGTCGACCAAATCCGAGACCAACAGGCTAGATTCCGTAAGCATCGATCATGTACAGACCAAATCGCAACTCTACGGATCATTGTGGAACAATCAAGTGGAATTCATCACTCTACATCAACTTCATTGACTACGAGAAAGCATTTGACAGGGTGAACAGAACGACACTATGGAAGCTTCTTAGACACTGCGGTGTGCCTCAGAAGATAGTCAACATCATACGGAATTCCTATGATAGATTAAACTGCAAAATCATGCATGGAGGACAGTTGGCAAAGTCGTTCGAAGTAAAGACCGGTGTTAGGCAAGGTTGCTTACTCTCACCATTTCTCTTTCTCCTGGTGATCGACTGGATCATGAAGACGTCAACATCTGAAGGGAAGCACGGGATACAGTAGACATCTAGGATGCAGCTGGACGATCTAGACTTCGCAGACGATTTGGCCCTCCTATCGCAAGCGCAACAACAAATGCAGGAGAAGACGAACAGTGTGGCAGCAGCCTCAGCAGCAGTAGGTCTAAACATACACAAATGGAAAAGCAAGATTTTCCAACACAAGATAATATGTATCAATCAAATCACACATGACGGAGAAGATTTGGAAGATGTAAAAACCTTCACATATCTGGGCAGCATCATTGGTGAGCACTGCGGATCTGATGCAGATGTGAAAGAGTGGATCGGCAAATCAAGAGCAACATATTTACAACTGAAGAATATCTGGAACTCAAAACAACTATCTGTCAAACAACATCAAATTTTCAACACAAATGTCAAAACAGTTCCATTGTTTGGGGCGGAAACTTGGAGAACTACGAAAGCCATCAAGACATACAAGTGTTTATTAACCGTTGTCTACTCTAAATATTTCGGATCCGTTGATCAGACACTATCAGCAACAACCTACTGTGGGAGAGAACAAACCAGATCTCAGCAGAGGAAGAAATCAGGAAGAAACGCTGAAAGTGGATGGGACACACATTGAGGAAAGCACACAACTGCGTCACAAGGTAAGCCCTCACTTGGATTCCTCAAGGTCAAAGGAGGAGAGAAAGACAAAAGAACGCATTACGCCGGGAAATGGAGATAGACATGAGATGAATGAACAAGAATTGGATAGAGCTAGAAACGAAGCCCCAGGACAGAGTGTGTTGGAGAATGACGGTCGTCGGCCTATGCTCCTTTACGAGGAGTAACAGGCATAAGTAAGTAAGTAATTACTTCTTCAGAGTGAACAAAGCTATTATATATTCATTATCGCCTCTATAATCTAGAAAAAACACTTCATTTTATATATTTAGGAGATATTTGTTTCATACCGGGCTAATATGTCTTCCTCATACTTCATCGTTTGTCACAAATATGGGTGAGTACTGTAGAATACGTAATATTCTATAAATTGTCTGATTTTCACATTATATTTTAGTATATTGTCAAGGAGATTGGTAATTTACTTAGTTGTCTGCAAATCTGCTTGTCAAAATTTAATGAATAAAATATCGCACCTAGTAAACTAAATCCTCTGAAAATTAGAAACCTTGTATTCCGATTCTGGATTTTTGAAAAATCACGTTTATCTTTCATCTTTAAATTTTCATTAGGATTCCTTGTATGGAATCCAGAAATTAGGACTTAAAAACGATGTAGTTCAGCTTGACTTTTATTTGTTTTTCAGCTGATTATAAGTCCTGACGGAAAAAATTACAAAACTATTGATCATATATGAAAATGCCTCAAAAACGCATCCTGAATAACATATAGTTGACTTATTCAATGTGATGTGGCCACAATCATTAGGTATTCTCAACTTCAACGGTGAAACTGACTTCATACAGTCATTGGAGGTTAACATTTCATTAGAAGTTTTTTCAGTCAAATGAAATGGTACATAGGTTTTTCTATGTAGAAGCATATACTCTAGTTATTGCAAACAATACTACATTAATCATCAATAACCTATGTAAGAAATCTTATTTTATTATTCCAAAAATATTTTGGTCAAAATTTTTAATGTCACTCACTTGGACTGGTTAAAGAACAACGATGCTGAGTAAGACGAGGTGTACACAGGTATTTTATTCTCTGCAAAATAAAATTATAAATTTAGGTATAAATAGTATGATATATATAGAATAATTTCATCTTATAATTTTTTATATTAGACAACTAGATATTCACAAGTCTACAGCGTATTTGGATACGATCATTTCCAGTTTTTAAGAACATCAAGTAAACTTAAGTGTATTTACATCATTAAATTATGTTTAGCAATAGTGCATCAAAAGGTAAATACTCAAACTGTCATATGTTCATTTTAGCCCTGCTAAAAAACCCTTCGAAGAAAAATTAGAATTCCTCAATATTACATTTCATTTAGTTTGTTCATGTAACCCCCTCTTGGTTCGTATATAGCCATGTTTTGAAACGTCTAATATTGACCCAATGCAAACAGATATTTTATTCCAAAGATCAATCTTACTACTTTAATCATTTGTAAGTAGTCTGTAATATTGAATAAGTTTTATATGGAATTGTATAAAATCAATCTTTTCCTGAAATTTATCCACGAACAACATTAAGAGCTCCATTACCAAATTTAGGCCACGTAAAACTTAGGCAAATAGTTTGTACAACTGAAAATTTTACTACCAATAATCATTTATTATATATGAAAGTTATATTTGAAATAGTCTCAGAGATTGAAACTTAAATAATTCCAACGTTTCGTCCAGTAAATTTGTCTGAACTTCTTTAGGGTAATAATCAAAATCAAAATCATTAAGGAAATATATATGGCGTTGTAACAATCAAATCAGATCAAATCTATATTGTGTTAATCCAATCATATTGAGATGTTGACTTAAGCAAATAGGATAGCATGAGTCGGTTAAATGAAAATCATGTGAAAAGTTTTTTTTCCTTCATACAAAACATTTTGACACCGAATATCATTCATTAGTAAGTCAATCTTACACATAAATACACAAACACAATTCGTTCAGTCATTTATTTTCACATCGTGAACTTTTGGAGGAGAATTCATCAACTCAGCTGAAGTTTTTGAACAATCAGAATACCAAGACCAATCAACCAGTCTTAAATGCTTTAAGTGTAAAGTTCTAAGCCTTATTTGTCATAATATTAGATAATATCAATTGTTTATTACATTGCTTTATTTAATCAGTTAACAGTGAAACCAGTTAACATGCCTTAATACTTTAACTGTCATTCTAGTAAACAAACTTTTATGTATCTAATATCTGACTACACAATGTGTATATTTCTTCCTATTCACCAAACATCAATTAGGTAGCTCACTATTTCACATTACTCATTTATTTAACTTTTAGTCGGCCGTGATCTGACTCCAGGCAGATCGCGTGAATGATTATTGTTGAAATATACATGTCGCCAATTCTCGTATATTATCATCGACTTAAATTACGTTAGTGAATAACGGAATTAAGTAAGTCAAATACGAGAATAAATTTCGAATACGTGTATTTCATACATTCGTTTATCCAGACAAACGATAGAAGAAACAAAACTAAGAGAACGCAACAAAATGATGCGCGGTGGAGAGGGCATGCAAGCCAACTCGTTTTAATCAAACGTGACTAGATATTTTTAGTTACACAAAAATAGATTACAAACATGTGATGATAAGAAATCCACACACACGTTTACATAAAAGCAGTCAAATTGGATAAGTGACAAGGTCGAAATGTGACTCAAGATGAATGAATAGATTGACCTATCCGGAAGCGAGAATAAGTTATGTGGGTTTGGCATTGTAACCGACACCACAAACCTCAAAGTTTTCAACAGGAAAATCTGTTTCTCACAATTTTACTAAAAAATAATTCACATGAGTGAACTTACTTCTAGAAATGTTCCCGGTGTTCTTACAACCTCTGCCACCATGACACCTGGAATGAAGAACAAACTTGAACTGGCCATCATCCAACCTAATATCACAGACCACTTCGGAAAGTGATATGGTTCAGGTTTGACAGCTCGCATATATGTGAGTTCTTCGTATACAATTACACTGAAGATAAACAGAACCTAAAGTATAAATACCATGGACAAAAATGAGAATCAATCAAAGCAGACAATATGACTGTTGAAAAGGATACCTGAAGAAGTTTGTGTGACCTATTATTATTATTTTACATAACAAATCGGGTGTATCAACTTTATGTATACGAATTACAAACTAAACAGACTCTATTCTTCATGCAAAAATTATGTGGACAAAACCAGCCATTAAACAAAGAGTTAACAAATAAAAGTGTCTTATCAAAAATAATCACATTCAAATTGATAGTTTTCTGGTTGACTAAAAGAATTCACGAAGAATCTGTAACTATTCATCCATTTGATTTATTGTTGTGAATGACGAACAAGACGTCACTTGAGATACTGTATTTACCAATCAGTGTACGAGTTCAAATAATGCTACAATCGTATAGGTAGAATGCATTACTGAAAGCAATTTGAAAATGTGGTCAACTTTATGCCTCTTGTTCAGAGGACCAAGAATCAAATCAACAGGAGATAGAATCAAAATGGAGAAGTGAACAGTGATAGGTTAAAGATCAACAATAGCTAATCAAAATGGATGTCTACGGAACAAGCTGAGTCATATGTGGAGAAATTCGAACACTTTGTATCTACCTGAAGTTTATGCTGATAATGTCGTTCAGAATAACGACGAAAGCTCCATGACCAAACCATTCAGCTCAGAGAACGAAATTCCATCAAAATCATCCATTTGAGCTACAAATCTTCTCCATCATCTCAAAAACTCTTATTATTCTCAACATAACTAACAATATAATTGATCTGCTTCAACATCTGCTTAGCTAGTTTATCTTATTCATATAGATTGTTGATTTTGTAACAAATAAAAACCACTAACTTGTCGTCAGTAGAAGTCAATGACATCATATTCTCATGGTTTCCTTATAACAATAAACATCCAAACATACAAATACACTCATGAATTTTTAACAAAATAAACAATTTGAACATCAGATTGTCACGTGATCTTGCCATATTTAAGCCTTTAGTGGTATTTTTTTATTGAACCTTATACACTCTTTGATAATTTTGATTTCGATTATTATTCTGAAAATGTTTGAATTAGTTCATCAGGCGAAACGTTGACAATATTTATATTTCAGTTGCTAAGGTCATTTCAAATATAACATTTAGACATGAATATATATATATATATATATATATATATATATATATATATATATATATATATATATATATAAGGGTAAAAAGAGGTCAAAATATCTATCTCATCACTTACAAATGTAAACAATGGAGTAATAATGCATAGGTATAAACAACAAAACCATTTAAGCGAAAAGCCATACATTGACTTCATATCATTTGCAAACCGTCTCCATCCTAAAAGAAAACAAAAGTTTTGTAAAATGTTAAGAGCGTATTAATGTTTTGGTATATAAAAAAATTAATACTTAAGGTAGAACTGCATATATCTTAATCAACGCAAAACAGAGTACCGAGTATAGATCAAGTCAAATAATCAGATTGTATGTCTAGGTATATTCTACAGTGTTGACAAAATCCTGAGGTACGAATATGAAATATGTATTATTAATGAAGAATCTGTAAATTGTATAATAGCGATAAATGGTTATATTCTAAGTAATGAAATAGTTTTTATACTTTGGTTGATATGAAAATTCGTCATCAATTTTATCAAATTTACATCTTTAACAAGCAATAATTGCAGTATTGATCATCTTCTGGTAACTCATTTACTGACTTATTTTCAGAGAATAAAATTAGATTTAGCGCATTAGTGTTTATACATGATATGAATAAGTGAAATGTCATGCTAAACAATAATCCATACAAACCTCTAACTATAATATACAGGTTGAAGTGGTGATATAATAAAATCACTGACAACGTTAAGTTTTTGGTCTGACGAAAAATTCGTAGATTGTATTTCGAGTTAAATACTAATGTTGGCATTATTAAGGTAAAATTTAATGATAAGCAACGTTTCTAAAAGTTATTGTCTTCAGATATATCATATGAGTTATTCAGACTATTGCAAATAATCACAAGCTCACTAGGTATTTTATCTTATACTTATATATCTAAATGAGTTCATCATGGTTGCACGGTGTATTTTCGTATAACAACTATATTACAAATTATGTTATTCATCATATCAATTGTGTAAAATAATGGTACTTGTACTAGCCGAGTCAAGTAATAAAAAAGTGCCCACAAAAAGCGATTCTGGCAACTAAACACACAATTGATTTATTCCGAACTTCGGAACGAGGAATTATTCTAATTTTTCGATTTAATCTCTATCTCATATATTCAGCGTTGTCACCTACCCATAACTTTGATTATGTTTTGTACATGTGTGTATAGTAGTATCCATATATCCACCCACTTTCCATGTTTCTCACTTGATTTATGAAAACAGTCACCTTGTTATTCGCTAAATTGGTGCATTACAAAACTCCAGTTCTTTATACAATTATATCTTGTGTTTTTGTCTGACTTTCAGTATAAGTATGAACCCTACATTCAATTCGTCTACGTTTGACAAACCACTGTTCTAAACGTAATAAGTCGACAGAATATGTACGAAGTCAAGTAAGATACATATTTCATGAATGTTAATTTTGGAGTCAGACAACGCGGACTAAATGTTAACAAACAGACAAATACTTACATAGTGACTTTAGGCTTTGTACATATTAGATTTTTAAAACTTTTGTCAATGTTACCTGGCATATATTTATGTTTCTATTTACAGTTATGGTGAAATTTCAAGATGAAATTAATTAAAACAGTTGAACATCTTGTCGTAATCAATCTCGTACCCCTGCTGCTTACACTAGCTAATGAACAACCAATTTGAAAATAGATTAGAACAAGTCATTAAAAGGTTGAAAACGTGCATCGCTATTGAGATTCAGCAATCATACAAATTTATCAGACTTATCGAGGTCAAAATATGATGCCTTAGGGAATCACTACCAACTAGGTAGACAGAGGGCGTACACGTTCATTCATTAACACAAACAGTAGAAAGGGGTAATTTCTAAAGCAAATATATACAAATAATTCAGTATATAATTTGATGATAAACAGAGTAATCAATATTTATAATTCCTACTAAGGAAAATTACTTCAACATTTCCTATGATAGAAAGTATCGATCTAATTAATAATAAACCATAGGAAATATTTATTCCGACAAATAAACAATACAAATAAGAAAATCTAATTATACGTGTACAATACAACAGCATTTTTTTATATTTGACATTTATCATTGAAAACTGCTTCAAAATAGATGTAAATGTAAAACAATGTGTCGTAACATGAACCAATTATATGCTGTGTGATAATTGGAATAATTGATATATATATATATATATATATATATATATATATATATATATATATATATATATATATATATATATATTATAAACAATTATAAGCAACTGTGTCATAAATTATTGAAACCAATACAATTGTTATTTCATATTCAAGCAATACAAGTACGTTTCCAATACATTCATCATGACATAGTTGTGGTCTCGTGTGTGACGAAATCTCAGCACGGATACAGAAGCCTCGACTAGCTTTTGCCAACTTGCTTCAGTTATGGCGTACACGAAATATCCGTCTACCAACCAAAGGACGGGTTTACTGCGCAGCAGTTCGTTCCGTCCTACTTCATGGCAGTGAAACATGGCCGGTAAGAGTAGAGGATATTCGTAGGTTACTAGTATTCGATCATAGGTGTCTTCGAAGCATTGCTCGTACATACTGGGACCATCGAGTAAGTAGTGCAGTTGTTAGAAAACGGGTACTAGGTAAGGATGGCGAATCAATTGATGACGTAGTGAAACGTCATCAGTTGAGATGGCTTGGACATGTGTTACGTATGCCCAACCACCGACTGCCTCGATGTGCGATGTTTTGTTGTATAGGAGTAGGTTGGAAGAAAGCTAGGGGCGGCCAGACCAAAACATGACACAAGTCCACGAAGTCACTGACAAGTGGACTGAGTAATGTTGATAGGTGTTGACTACCTGGTTGGGAACCACGAGATGATAGCAACCGATGGTTAGAGACCCTGAATAACATAACTCAAAATCGTTTGCAATGGCGCAGGTGCATCCGTTCTTTGTGTTCTCCTGAATCCTCATTGTCTCTTTTTTTCTCTTTCCAAATTTATTTCACTGGATTATACTCTTTAAATACCACTACGGGATTCGAATCAACAACTGCATCTCTGTGATAATGTGGTGTGGCAACTCGAACTGATGTACCTACGTACGAAGTTCTACGTTGTTACTGACTAATTGACGTACTTTGAAAATTAAGCAGTAATACATTTAATTCAACATTATTTTTTTCAATATTAAAATCTTACCATATATGTAGCCAATCACGATACATTCCAAAAATGTAACACATAAAATTATACGACTACCCGAATAATAATCAAATAATTGAAATATGTACATACCGCCCTAAACGAAAGAAAAAAAACAAAACAGCCATAGTAATAAATAGATAGAATACAATGAATAATCATGGGGAAAAAATAATTCTTTTACAAGAATGAATTGAACAGAAGTAATTCATCACAAGTTTAAACTTTTGATATACTGGGCAAAGTGATTTACTTGGAAAAAAAAAACTATTTTTCTTATTGATCTGTTTGCTTATTGGAAATACATAAGAAGAAATCAAATAAGATTAATGTAGTTTAATATTATTTTGACTATCCTATACGCTATTGTTTAGGTTTTTCTTTTAGTATTAGGCTACATCTAGGCTATTAGAATGTACGGTTTTCCTTTATATATTTGTATAGTTTATATTACAAACTGATTTTAGTTAGATAACAACTGAAAACCGAGGAAGCTCTGAAAAGCGTGTTATGTTAATATGTGAATTTTGAACAATCAATATTTACAATCTCTCGTCTCGCGGTGATATTTTAAAAAACCTAGGTCATCTGTAAAGAATCTAGTTGATGAAAATGGAACTTGAACTAAGATAGTACTAGGTGATTATTAATCCGTAGACATTAGATAGTTATTAAGTAAATTCTTCATAAATTGTTATTCTGTTGTTTTCAGTTGAGGTAAACTTGCAGTCAAACATTATGTTCACTCTCGTGCTATGAAGATAACTTTGGCACATTGGTGCTTATTCATATGTTAAGTTCTAGGTTATTTATAACATATGTGAAGTTTTCTTTTATCAAATCAATAGTGGGATTTCGGTATGAATATCAGCTTGTATATGAAAACATGTTGTTTGTAGTAAAACCTTGAGATTAGTTATTCTTCTTTTAAGTATGTATTTTAACTAAGAAGAGATTAACTACGTCGGCCTAATGATAAGCTAACTTTTTCAACTGATTTTTAAAAAGTATCATTCATCGACTTAGAAGTTACGTTACTTACAATAAAACCGGATTTCCAGTAAACTTTTTGATTTAAATATTGTTTTGCGTGAGAAACAGTTGGTTTGTTCATATATTTAAACGTAAGTTGGTAGAAGGTAATCTCCAGGAAGAGTTGAACTTATCATCAACATGAAATATTTATAATTTTGAGGAAACTAATATATTCCGTAAGTTATTAAACATAACTGGCTTCAATACTGCCACCTCATATTTTTATCTAAACCATACGTTTGCAATTTAATAGTAAATCCTTGGTTTGACGAATGGGCACATCATACCTAATTAACTAATTATAGTTAATGGAGAAAAACAAAACATTTCGAAGCGTTTTCAGTTTTATTCCCAAAGTTCAATTTTATGATGGGTATATTTTATTGATGTAAATAAAGTTTCCACCTAATGAAAACTAATATTGGATGGAATTGGTAAAGCATGAAAGTATTCCAACTTTGTATTGGCTGATTGAAAGTTTCCTTGACGTTTAGGGCTACGATTGATCGGTCTGTTATTCGCATATATGAATCCTTTACAGATTGTCTTGATATTGCCCTAACTCACGAGCATTATAAGCAGAAGTGGATGGTGGCCAGCAGTGAAATCCAGGACGTGAGTTTTGTCCTATTTGGGACTCGACAACTGGATATACCTGCACCCAATATTTGATGTCCCCTCAGCTCTCGGATGCTGATGAGTCATAAATAAGATAAAACGCGCGTCCTGCATTCTATTGCTAGACATTATCTATCTCTGCTTATGAACATAATCATCAACTTTTGAGATTGTTTGAATTTGATCAGGTAAAGTGCTGATTATTAACATTATGATTTAGTCAGTTTCCTTGCATAATATTGTTAGACAGATATAGATATACGTAGATAATCTATATTATAAACTTACTGTGAATCTAAACATGATCAGTGCAAATCTACTCATATAGTCTACATATGTTATGCCATATCAGAATTTATTTGAAAGATTTTATTTTCAGTGGAAATTATTCGTTGATCAGCTATTCAGTGTATAATGTTTTAATTTCAATACACCCATGATTATGCGGGATATAAATTCGATGAGAATGATTTAAAACTAACGTATCTTTTTAAATGTCTTAAATACACAATTCTGATATAAAACTCTTCCTCCTGTAATTCACATATAGGAATGTGTTATGAAAAAGCAAACCGACATTAGCCAAGAGACACATAAGAAAAATGAATCTCTTTTTTTAGAAAGAAAGTCATATGTACACAATGCTTCTCATTTTTTAGTAATACGGTGGTGTATACTACATTTGGTTGTCCCCAGATGTGTTCTCCTTCACTACAATACTACTAACATAACAATAACTATTTTCATATTTGTTATTAAGCGCACCTTAAATTATTAAGACAAATAATCGCCAATGTACTAACGATACAAATAAATTACAGATCATTCAGCTGAAATAACGTATATAATCAATAACCCTGCATACTTTAAATATTTGACAAAAGGTCTGTAAATATTTAAGTTGTCTTTGTATTATGTGTAAGTTTTATCTTTATGAATGACTCAAGAAAAGTACCTTATTAAGATAAAAGATCAGTTTGAAGATAGTTAACATTTTAGAATGGTATTTGATAAACATTTGTTGATATCTAGAGAACGCTAGACAACTGTCTAAGCTTTACTTGATTCTTCCATATTAGACGCGTTCATAACATTGTACGTTACGCTTAGACTATTAGGTTTGAATTCATTATTTCTCAAATTTAAATGCAGTCAATCGTTAATATTGCATCGTCATCATCGTCATTATCATGTACTTCCGTTGACGAATTTCTCATTTCGTATCAGATTGAACATCACTAATCGTGACTTTCTAATTAAAAGCTTATAAAAGGTAAATAAACGTTTTACCAGCCATTCTTTAATGAATTTTTTTAAGTCATACTACTACAAATTATTCGCTATTTTAACCAGAACAGAAACTAACAAAATTTCCATTGTAATAAATTCGTTTTATTTCAAAGGGTTTTAATCAACCTTATTGGCTAAAAATCATTGAGATGAAAGTTATGGTTTGTTTTCGTTAGAAAAAGAAAAGAACAGTAGTAATGAATCGTAAAATATAATGGTCAATGTAAACCATCGTTGAATCGATTAATTAATTTCATACAGTTTGTACCCTTTATGAATGTGAATAAAGCCAGAACAAACATTGATGCAGAATAATATGAATTCTTTATATTTCTTAGTTTCTAATCAACTGCTTACAACCACATAAGTACTGAAAGTTACCATTGAGGTAATATATAATGTGAAACAATTGACATAAATGAACGAAAAGGTTATCAGTAACAACTCTCTCTCACTAAAGATATATATATCAGTATAGGGTTGTGGAGATTATTGATTTTAGATTGATATCATGACTAGCACAATATCAGACCACCGTTGAGAACCTGGAAGCATCAGACGGCCGTTTAGTCCCAGTATGGGACTACTCTGCAGTGCGTATTCACGATCCCACACTCTGAGCTCGAACACGGGACCTTCGGTCTCGCGCACGAACGCTTGATCCCTAGACCTTTGAGCTGGCATTCGACGGCAATGATGTCTAATTTTGGCCAATCCGCGACATTGCGCCACCGTCCACCATTGTCTTTAATAAGTAACTGCGTCACAACAGAACAGTTTGGAGGACATATAGAGTTGGAGTTAGAAACATTAGAGGCGGTTGATGTATCAATCAAATGAGTTCCGTAGAAATACAAAATGGATTGTGTGATAATTTTGAGTTTATGAACTGGAACTAAAGATTGACATGATGGGTTACGGAATAAGCGAAATAGGATTTGAAGAGTTTACATGAGTTGACAGAATTAAGTGAATGAAAACATAGTAGTAAAGGGGTGGTTTTGGTGTTTGTTATATAAGACCATATGACAAAATAAACACAAATAAAATAATGATGATGACAAAAATAAGTTACTGTCTCTTTCTGCATACATAGGTCAGGTCTAAATGTTTTTATTGTTATTGCTTCGGCAAATCGAAAAGACGCTGCGTTCTTTTGTTTGCTGACAATTTTAAAGGCTTGTGGAGTGTCAATGGTATGTCCGGTATCAAGTAAATGCCGAGTTATTGTAATCTTTGGAGCCATTTTGTCTATCCCTATCAAGAATTTGGGAACGTGCTCGGAAATGAGAACATGCACTCTTTACTCTGTTCTTCCAATGTATGAGCCTTGGAACGTAAATGTAAATTGGTAGCCATTGTCATTCTAATTCTTTTCGTTCATTTATGTCAATTGTTTCACATTATATATTACCTCAGTGGTAACTTTCAGTACTTATGTGGTTGTAAGCAGTTGATTAGAAACTAAGAAATATAAAGAATTCATATTATTCTGCATCAATGTTTGTTCTGTCTTTATTCAACTAATTAATGCTTGATATTGTTAAGATGAATCACATCCAACAGAATAGTATACAAACAGGGTTTATCTATCAATCAAAATAAATTACTTATATGCGTAAATATCATAGTTTCTAATCCTAACCATACAGAAACATTTACTGAAACAACGTACTAAGATAAAATATTCAAGGTATATATGTATTTCGACAGATGAAGTATTATGCAAAACTATATTGATCTGAGTAATGTTTTTTCGGAGGATTTATAACACATTTCATATTCTCAATGGGTTCTCAACTGCCAAAAGACACTAACAGAGTAGAAACATAATGATTATAGAGAAACTCAGTTTTCGCTTAGAATAATCTTTACACTTATGGAAGAATAATTTAATTGCCGACTCACAACACTAGTCATCTAATTTACTAACTGCAATTTAATAGTACCGGACTGCTTTTATTTATATATGTAGTGGATTTTTTCAAACTATTACCGCTTTATCAGCAGAGATGAATAAATGATGCGAATGGAATACAGGGTGCTCGTTTCACGCTATTTTTGATTCGTCAGTTGGATGCACCTACATACCGAGGTTGATGTTTACCCCGAAAATTGAACCTGGTACCGTTTGCTTCACATGCTATCGCACTATCCACTGAGCTACTGAGTCCAAATAAGGACTAGCTAATGAAATAGGTTGAAATTTAGGATATGTATACTCCTAAAACAGACTGATTAATTACAGTTCTAAAAACGAATGGGAAGATCCAAACAACCAATGCAAATGACTTATTGTTTCGTTTCTATATCTATCTCATCCTAGCTAAATTTCTTCTACTATTAAGTATAAATTGATAATTAGTTATTATTCACGTCACAATTAACTCAATTTTGATATATAGAAAAACCGTCAGTTAAATCTTTTAATTGTCTAGTACATCGTATTTTTACGATGGTTTTCAACAAAGTTCAATAGAATACAATGTCAATTTATGTACGGAAACATTCATACTATATATTATATAATCGACAAAGTTACAATCAACTCATCGAAGCTTACTGATGTTTACTAGTTTTGTAACTTCAAATAATAAAGTAATGGTCTAAATCTTATTCAAACTTCGTCTATATCTTGTTTACTCATAGATAATATGTATAATATAAATGTTTTCTTCTCAATATGTTTTATTTAACATAAATATTTACAATCTCACACATGGTTTTGTGTGACAGTATCATAAAATGCATATCACAGTGAATAGTCATATTCATTTAGAGAAATATATCTGTCAGAAATAAATAACAGGCTGTTGTATGCTATGAATCTTAAAACTGATTTCCACTACTCTTCACTAACAAACACGAATTTCTGGTATATATATATATATATATACTAAATGCTTTAAACTATACGACAAAGTTGAAACATGAATTTCTAAACATTTCAAAATATAACGGATCACTACGTGTACAGAATGATTAAACACGTATAGATATTCTAATAATACTCAATAGCTGAAAAATTACTTACATTAGTCACCATAAATAATCCAATACCATAAGATATAATACATGTGGCTGCAACAAAACTAACTCGATACCATGGATTTAATATCACTTGAGGTAAGTAATCGGAGATTGCAGCAACAAAACCTTCAACTCCACCAAACTAAAATATTTAACATAGAAATACATAAAGAAAACAATTTATTGATTTATTACAAGAGTCATAAGAACAAACCTCAGCATTTAAAAAATAAATGAATCATTAATGAAGGATTATTTTATAAAATGCCAAAATTAATCCTGTACATATGAACACGTATGTAAAAGTTATAATGTAAATCTTAAACTTGGAACAGTGATTTATCATGAATTCGAAAATGAACTTTCTTCATGACCTTAAGCATTAAAATTAATAGAAATTAGTTTTTTTAAAAAAACATACATCTATTAACAATACAGTATTTGAACTTTTTTTTAATCTAGTCATATTGTTCCGTTGAAGCTAATTTTAAAGCAAAGATACTTTGGCAAAGATACAAACTAATAATAATAATAATATAGATCGGGGATATTATGTTTTTAATATCCGTTTAATTTTAACTAATTCCTATCAGTGTGGAAAATTGATTTTTGTTTAATTTCTTTATGACTACAAACAAAACTTTGAAATGTTCATAGTCATAGTTTCTACTTTATGAGTAGTATTAACACTTTTCGTCAAGTAAACATTCCAACTATACAATTGAAATTCGTAAACAACTTAATCATTTCCGGTTTATGATACGTTTCTCATTGTTTCTATTTTCTTACAAGTTGTTATTAGTTCCTTTGTTTTGTTTTGTTTACAAGAATCAAACTTTCATCAGGTTTTAAAACCCTTATGTTGCTAGTTTAAATTTAGCACAGTTTCTAATGATGGTGATAAAAATTTTGGTCAATATAATAGGGTATATTTTATAGAAGACATTTATACAGAACGGATTTTTTTTAATTATGTTTTGAATACAGTAAATTTAAGTGATTTACAAATATTATTTTATTTTGAAAACCACTTTTGACACGTACTGAAATCATCTGAACAATAAATGAATTTAGTGAATTTGGGCTAATAAACAATGTTTTAGTAATAACCATACAAGAAATGCATTCATGTTTAAACAGATTAATTCAATGAAATACACATCCCTCTTAATGTAATTTCATATTTAGTATTACATAAACGTTTAAAGTCTTCTTTAATGCATCGAACTTCAGTTATACGGAATTATCTTATGTGTAGTCGATTAGATGTTATGGCTTTGAAGATTTAAAAAAAAAGGGATTAGTAGTATATCCAGAGCATTCTGATGATTGCTTGTAACTTACTGAAATACATTTTACTAAAAAGGCAGACATTTTTTAATCAGTTGTATTTAATTTTATTTAAATGTTGACGTCATTTTATCAAAGTTAACATGTTTTCATAAATTCCTAACTTGACAGATATTTGTCTCTTAGGTTGCATACATCTTATCAAAATTTTACCAGTATAGATTTGACATAAATCTAATCTAAAGTACATTTTCAGTCAATTTCTTTTTTAGGTTTGTATTCAAAAGTTTATTCATTAGCAATGAAACCTAACATCCCTTCAACTATTTAATTATGTTAATAAGAAAAATCAAAATAAATATCTCTTTAGATAAAATCTTAACACAGCTAACAAACTCTTAATCAACAACAGTCGTAAAGATAATAAGTGAGCATGACTAAGGTTTTTATGATTAATGTATATATAAATTTAATTATTATCAGAAGGGATTTTGTGGAAATTGTAGTAATTTCAATAGTTGAGATCATGAGTCAATTGAAGCTAAACCACAATGGAAAACCTGGATGCACTACACAGCCATCTCGTCTTATTGTGAAACTACTCAATAGTGCGCAACCACGACCCCGCCTCGCGGGATTCGAATCCAGGACCTATCAATTAGACACTAACACCGTTGGATGCCCACTCTGTGTTCTAGTGGTTAAGGGATCGCGCGCGAGACCGATAGGTCGTGGGTTCGAATCCCGCAAGGCGGAGTCGTGGATACGAACTACTGAGGAATCCCACAATAGGATGAAACGGCCATCCAGTGCTTCTAGGTTCTCTATTGTGGTCTAGCTTCAATTGACTTATGATCTCAACTGTTGAAATTTAATTATGTTGATGAAAGCTTGATATTAATCGAATCAATTTCCTCAGTTATCTGAGAAGCCTTTAGGAAAGAGCTTAACTTTTCAAATGAGTTTTGTCTTCACAATGACAAAGTTTTAAAATTATAGTCATTCTGGATCGTTTTACCTAATTAGTTTACGATCATTTTCATGAATTACTTTAGTTTAATCGCTTAATTATATGTGTTCAGCAATATCTTCTATAAGGTATTTTCCGGGATACTATTAATCAAGGGTATAGGTAAATTCGTGGCTAACAGTCCTGGTTAGGACTTGTACACAGCTGAGTGTACTTTCATCCCAGTCTTGATGTTCACATTGGGACTTGAAACCGGTACTTGATGCTTCAAACACTATACGTGTTATCCACTAATAATTTATGTCTTCATATTGGAATGATATAATTTTATCTTTCATTTTTCCCAATACTTATGTTTTCAAACAGAGCAAGAACAACAAAATTTGCAAAATCATCAATTGGATTCATTATTTTATTTCACAGTTTCTCATCAGCTGCATACAACCTAAAGTTATAATATAAATATGGTTATTAACAATTGTTTAACATACTTTAGTTCGTGAAGTTAAGACAGATGGATAAAACGTAGCCAAAATCATAATGATCCGAAGAATAGGGATACAAAGTGTACGAATAAATATAGTTAAGATCAATGTGTATTAACATGATGTGAAGTAATAAATTAGATGTTATGTAAAGATGATGAAATTAATAAGTGATTAGGTAATCACTCAACACGATAAAATATACAAATATGTGAACAATCAGATTATGTAAGAGATGAAGATTAAAAGACGAAAGAATAAAAACCTCTTTTATTTTGATTATGATTATTGGCAACCATAATACCTATTTTAATGTGCATTGCTACACACATATACACACACAAGAGATCTTAACTAAATTTAATCGTACACTTTGTGTCCCTATTCTTCGGATTATTATGATTTCGGTTACGTTTTAAACATCTATCTTAACTTCATGAACTAAAGTATGTTAAACATTTGTTAATAACGATATTTATGTTAATAATCGCAATTTAGTTTGAATACAGCTGATGAGAAAACGTTCCTGCTCTCTTTAAATTTTAATAGTTGAATTCATGAGTCCATGTATGCTAGATCACCATCATAGGATCTGGTTGCACGAAAAAAAATGTAAACATTATAGTAGTACTAAAAATAATGTTACATCTGTAGTTTATAAAACTATAATTAATGATCATAACTTAAAATCATAGAAAATCTGTGAAGTTCTTGACGAAGAACTAACCACAAACTAAACTGTAGAATGAGAAATTAATAGAAAATGACCCCATTGAATGTGATTTGAACAAGCAGTATTAAGTAGGTTCCCTCAGTAAATATATATATATATATAAGACATAAAATATCTTAACAAGTATATGCGTGATCAGATTGTTCGAAATATATTGCGCAAATGTATCACATAATTCTGATAAACTTTGTCTTCTCATTGCATTATCGAAATTTATTAAAGGGACTAATTGTTATATATATTTATTTACATGTCTTTTACAAATAATGATAGGTACCATTATATTTTAGATATAATTGTTTCAAGTATGTGTAAGTTCACGAGGCAAGCCCTAACCTGGAATTCTGAAGGGAAGCCGAAAAGTGGAATGCCAAAGAATATATCACGTCGGGAAATAGAAGCAGATATGAAAAGGATAAATAACAACTGGAAAGAGCTGGAAAGGATTGACCAGAACAAGGTTGGATGGTGTGTGTTGGTGGGCGACCTATGCTCCTTCACTACGAGTAACAGGTGTAAGTAAATAAGTATGTGTAAGTGGTGGTACCTAATAAAAAAAGAACTACTCTCATGTTTTTTAATCCCATTCGTTCATCAAAACATTTGACAGGATAAACATTTATTTACTAATTATTTTCATAACAATATTTGAAACCTCTTTAGAAAAAACACAAGTATTCAATGCTTAATTATTCCGTCAGTTATAATTGTATACATTTTACCATATTCATTTGTATAATCTGATAATAATGACAAATAATGTAAACATTTTAATTAATAGTCATTTTATTTAATTTTTAAAAAAATTATAATGAACAAATTCACTAACCATACTATCGATTCCCAATAGTATAATCATAATAAAAAAACAAAATGACCAAATAGGACTACCAGGCAATGTTCCTAATGCTTTTGGATAAATAATAAATGCTAAACCTGGTCCTGATTCTGCAATTAAATGTATTGGGACATTGGATATATAAGACATATTGCCAAGTGTTGCAAATATAACAAAACCAGCCAATAAACTTGTAAATGTATTTGCACCAGCGAATAAAAGACAATCTCTAAATGTTAACAAAAAAAAATAAATGAGATGAAATGGTTACAGTAAAATGAATTTATTAAGTTGTTTGTTTTTTTTTAAAGAAAAGGGGTACATTCATTTCATAAAAAGCAAAATTACTCTTATTTGAATAATACAGAATGGTTCATCATTCTAAATCAAAATGTATTTCATACATCTTTCACTTACAAATTGGTTTGATGTATAATTACTTGATAAAAGCAACTATTTACATGATGCAAAGAGCATAAATATTAAACGAACGTCAGGGCAGTTCTCCTATATGGAGCTGAAACTTGGAGAACTACTACAGCCATCATCAAAATTGTACAAGTATTTGTAATTAGTTATCTACGCAAGATACTCAACATCCATTGGCCGGATATCATCAGCAACAGACTTCTGTTGGAGAGAAAAAACCTGCATCCAGTTGAAGAGGAAATTAGAAAAAGACGATGGAAATGGATAGGACATATATTACGCAAATCAGCAAACTGCATCACGAGGCAAGCCCTAATTTGGAATCTTGAAGGGAAGCCGAAAAGTGGAAGGTCAAAGAATACATCACGTCGGGAAATAGAAGCAGATATGAAAAGGATGAATAACAAGTGTAAAGAGCTGGAAGTGATTGACCAGGACAGGGTTGGATGGCGTGTGCTGGTGAGCGGCCAATGCTCCTTCACGGAGGAGTAACAGGCGTAAGTAAGTAAGTAAGCAATATAGTTGCATTCGAATTCACTATAAAATGAGTAATCCACAAAATTAATATTGTCTAATCGTTTATAACATCAAATTACAATATATTTATGTTATTATTGTGTATATATAACCACGTTATTTTATCAAATTAAGAATCTGTTTTTCTAGCTGGTGACCTGGGCTTATATATTGGTTTATTTGAAATTTATTTAATGATCTTGTCACACAGACGTCAAACATTTGGTTTCATTATATAATTGCATCCATTCATTATTCTGCATTCAATTCACACGTTTTAATGATGTAAAATTTTATCATCATTCATTAATAATTCTTGCGTATAACAATGAATGTTTAAGATCTAGCGTGACAGTTTAGTAAAAAGAATAACTCTGTTTTTATTTATTCTATTAGATATATTAAGTTGAAAAAATCCGACTCATTAAGAAGATCTTTTAAGATACTCTACAAAGACTAATGAAACCATTAGAAATGTCATGTGATACAGTAGCAATTTTGAGCTTACATTTTTATTCACTAATTTTAAAAAACAACTGTAATCTTCAACATTTTGACGATCTATCTTATTGTTTTATTTTTTCCTTCGGTTTTGTTTTAGATTCGTTTATCTTTATTTAGTCTATTTAATTCTCAGTGCTCAGTAACCTACTTTCATTTTTTAATTATCAACCATCCTCTGGTTTCTTTTTTTATAATTGACGATTTATCTTTCTTTATATAAACAGTTTCGTTCTTAATCTTGATGAAAACAGTTCGTATTATAATCTTTATAGTATACTTGTGGGCAACTAATGATTATTCGTCGTTTATAAAGGGATATGTGATAAAAAATTAAACACTAGTCAGTTCCATATTGAAACCTTATAATACCTTCAATAAGAGTTAAATTGAATGAACAGTAACAATGTACATTGCCTGTTATCAGCTCAAATAATCTTTCCTTTTAAAAACTCCAATTTTCATTTGACAGATTTAAAACAAGTACAATTAAATTTACATTTTGTCTTGTTTTCCTATGACTACTCGGTTTCATGTACTAAATGTAGAACTGACTATTAAGTTTCAAAGTGTTGTGATAAATAAAAAGTTAAGTAATGAAATGAAATTAAGACTAATTTGAATTCTCTGTACACTTTATTTCATCAATGAAATTCTAATAGTAGCATTTCTTTTCAAAATAACCTGATCCAAAATAGTACTATAGGGCCTCAGTGAAATTCATTAAATTTATCAACCGCTTTTTGTCAAAGATACATATTACTAAAAGTAAAACTGATGACGTTTTCCATACAAGGACATAATAGCTATCCAGTGCTTTCTTAGTTTTCCCAATTACTCCAGCGTATGTCGATTCATAACGAAAACTACTTTGAAAAAATACAATTTACTAATGATGATCTGAATTTCCGAGTTAACCTTGCAGTAGTTTCCTTCTGATAATCTTTTTATCTTAATCCATATAATATGAAAATATCTACCAACCAAAAATACTAATTACAAAGAACTCAGATAATACCAGAAAACTTCCACAAAATTGAAAAGATTAACAGTAATGTATATTTCTATTGAACACACCTACCTAACTGAATTATGATGATAACGATTATAACTTCCCAATGCAGACAAAGCTCCTAAACCAATAGCATAACTGAAAAAGATTTGAGTTCCAGCATCTGACCAAACCTATAAAAGAATGAAAATAAAATTATTTTTACAAAGATTATTTATTACGCTTTTTAGAAAATAAAATTTTCTTGATTTGTATTCAGAAGTCACCATAATAAATCATACATACTACTTACCAGATACTAAATATACTGATATCAGCTAGATGAAAATCATGTAAGCAAATGATAATTTAAGAATCGGTGAAAGGAGCTTTCAAACGGGAAGCACTGTTTTTTTGCCTAGTTTTCATATGATTTAGTTTTCACCAACAAGGTGTACCTGTAAACTTGACGGAATTAATCCCTCATCTTAGTATGCAGTCTGAGATGTTGCCATGTAGCAATTCAGAAAACAACTGACCTTCTGCATGACCAAGATATTTACACTTATTGATTACTAACCAAATTCTATCATTCAGCTAGCAATGGGCCACTAGTCTAAGTAACTCGACATCGCGTGTTAAAATATAATGGGGTTGGAGATAATCAACAGAATAATTTAAAATATAACTGTTTTACAATATCTGGTAATATTTTTTTAAAATTAATGTTAGCATTTTTAGTTTTACTCTTCATAGAAAATGTAATATTAACAAAGTAAAACTGTTATATTATAATTCCTTATTACTTTTGACTTTAAAAAGGAACAAATAACAAGAAGGAAATACATCTTTCTGCCAAAGAATTTTTAGTGTACAGCAATTCTTGTCAATGCTTAGAAAGTGATTTATCACAAAACGTTCATGTGAGTTGTGTATTTTCTTCATAAGCATATAAACCCATCAGATAACTAAGAGGGTTATGGGTTGTATCCCATATGAGAAAGAGGGTGAACTATTCATCGTGTGTAACCTCTTCTGAGTTAATACATTTGTTCGTTGAAACCCACTTATTTATAATGGTAGGAATTATGCTTTTCAAACTGAATTTTTTCATCACCTTCTCACTTGACGTAATTTCATGTATTTTCTATGAGTTTTAACCTCTATTTACTGAACAGTAGCACATACGGGTGAAAATTCAGTTTTTTTCTTCATATAAACGTTACATTTCATAGCATCAACAATCTCGTAGTTGTGGTGTATGCTGCCTATACTGACAGATATAAGTAGCATGCAGCCGCAGTCGGAAGTGGGATGATTGGCAGCAAAAGATTGGATTAAAGAGAACATAAAATAAATCGGTGAGCAATCGAAATAACAATGCAAACTAGATATGCGAATGACGTATTTAATTTGTGATTTTCATATTTTGCTAAGGAACTGTGTAATATTGTATTCAACAATCAACTGGTTTCCTCCAACTGAGACTCATTCACTACATAGTCGTCTAAAAATATAATCAAGGTAGTCTACAGAAATCTACAGTATAACTATTTGGGTTCAAAAGATTTTCACTGTATGAAATATGTAGTCAGAAATGAAATGAATTCACGGAAATATCTCTCGAATGAATAATTATATTTAGTATAGATTTCTTAACTTTTAATACGAAAAATGCATTTCAGAAAAACAATTATAACTTTGACAAACGCTTTAAGGAGATCGAGTGTATAACGAACGAAACATTAAGGAACAACCTAATAAAAGGACGTCTAGTAGATTATTAATTTTTGATTAAGATCATGAACCGATTGATGCTAGGCTACCATTGAAAACCTGGAAGCACTGGACGGCCGTTTCGTCTTATAATGGGACTCCTCAGTAGTGCGTCCACAATCCCGCTCGCGGGATTCGAACCCATGGCCTTCACTCTCGTGCGCAAACGCTTAACCTACTGGACCACTGAGCTAGCATCCAATGGTCTTAATGTGGATGTGCACTACTGAGGAGTCCCAAAATAGGACAAAACGGATGTCCAGTGCTTCCAGGTTTTCAATGGTGGCCTAACATCAATTGGTTCGTGATCCTAATAAAAAACTTAACAATCCCTAAACTGAAGATTATTAATTATTTATCTATTGACTATGAACCTTTTGCTGCAAATATTTATAAATTCATATTGAAGTACTTGTCATTGAGCTCAGATAATTCAAACAATGAATACTCATAGACCCAGACTGACAGATATTCATGGTCTAAGACTTGTAAATCATAATTATTTTTCATTGAGGTACATACACTTACTGTTTATTTATAATTTTGTTCATGTAAACAGAAAGTTTTGTAAATAATCAAATTTTTAAATAATCAATAAAGAACAATAATTCAAAAATCTTCTGAAGAAAAGTAAACAATATGATTTCACAATTCAAGACAATTAATAAAATGGGTAAGAAGACTTGTGACTTGAAGAACAGTGTTGTTTGTTTGTTTGTTTTTAAATTAAGGATTGTTTATCTAGAAAGATCGTTCTGTTCTCCAAATAAATTTTCATTTGACCTTTTGTAGAATTTGTTTTCGACAAGATCAATAAACATGGGGGGAAAAACAAGCTAAACAACAAAGTAGACAAACAGTTTTTGCAAAGAATCTACATTAACCACAGAATTAATTGAAAATGAGTTATTGTGAAACAGTTATTTCATCTTAGTTTGGTATTTTTCCCTAGAATGTATCCATACCACAATACAAGTTCGATTAAAATAAAACAAGTAATACTTCATTTGATTTCATATTGTATAGAATGCTCATTTAATTGAACTCTAAACATTAAATATCATTATTTCCAATCAATGAATAGATCAGTAAATAAGGCTTGTACTACTTTCAGACATGTTTATTGATGTGTTCATATTAAAGGAAAACTGAACTATCTGAAATCATTAAACTAAGACAGTATATATGAGCGAATTGAAACTTACATGAATATTGAACAACTGTTATGTGTTAGGAACACAATAAACAATAGATCGAATAAAAATTAATGTTATTTAATGGAAGTTAAGTTGAAAAACTAAAATTTTAATCCCTGGGTAGACTGCATAGTATCAAACGTTTCTATTTCAACATGTTAGATAATTTGATCATAGTAGTAAATAAAAATCACAGATAGATTGATTTACTACAGATTATTAACAAATCATTATCATAAAGTCTTTTTTCTGTAATATTATTCATTTTTATTCGGCATATATAAGGGAATCTGAAAATACACATATATGAAAACTAGTTAGAGATTGGAGAATAGTGAAAATTGAATGAAATCACCAATGAAGTTTAGACATGAAGAGAAATTTTTCGACAAACTACAGCTAACCGGTCCCTTGAATGTATATTGGTTTAGTGTAGTTTCAGTATACTATAAAAATTTCCTTTCAAAAAAAAAAGGATCATTCTACTCTCCACTTATAGTTTTAATAAGTTTTATTCCCATTTTTAGTATGACATATATTTATCCTAAAGTATTCAATTACAGAGATTAGTGTAATATTTAAAATTCTTTTTAGTTTATTCATTTACTTACTTACGTCTATTACCCCCAACAGAGCATAGGCCGACGACCAGCATTCTCCAACCCACTCTGTCCTGAGCCTTTCTTTCCAGTTCTATCCAATTTTCGTTCATTCATCTCATGTCTGTCTCCGTTTCTCGGCGTTATGTGTTCTTTGATCTTCCTCTCCTCCTTCGACCTTGAGGACTCCAAGTGAGAGTTTGCCTTGTAGCACAGTTGTGTGCTTTCCATGTTATGTTTCTTATTCACTTCCAGTGCTTCTTCTTGATTTCTCTCTCTGCTGAGATCTGGCTTATTCTCTCCCTCAGCAGATTGTTGGTAATAGTGTCTGGTCAACAGATTCGAAGTATTATGCGTAGACAACTGTTAATAAACACTTGTATGGCTTGATGGCGTTCGTAGTTCTCTAAGTTTCTTCCCCAAACAGTAGAACTTTCGTGATATTTGTATTGCGAATTCCGACTTTGACGTTGGCTAACAGTTGTTTTGAGTTCCAGGTGTTCTTCAATTGTAGATATGTTGCCCTTACTCCGCCTGGAGCCACTGCCGGTCTCAAGCCCGGTTAAAGGAGGAGGGTTGGCCATGGGGTTAGTGAACCCATCCCTTAGAAAACTAACTCGCTAAAGAAAAACGCTAACCAGGAAAAATTATTCAAACCATTTAAACTCTTTCTTCAATATCTCCAGTGACAGTCTAAGATTAATATTTATTACATTAATTAAATTTATTTCTAAATATCATGCAACCATCAAATATGATATAACTATGTTTCATTATGATTGATGGTCAAATAATTTGTTTTTAAAGAAAAACATCTTTTTCAAAATTAAACAAAACGGTTTACAAAGTCAAAATCTTATGTCTAATATTATATAGTTGTTGCATATTCCTTTTTTCTTCGAATATAGTCTACATACATTTTGTTTAGTATCACTATAGATACAAATGAAATATATCAAATGTGTCGAAATTCACTCACAAACAATGAAAATCAATATGTGACATACTTAAAAATATTTAACCAATACATAGTAGTTCATTGGAATTTCATTAAAATATATAAAAGAATTTAAGGTAGATTTAACTACTTATCAAGTGTATTTCATTTTACTATTCTAAATAACGTGTCTATACAAAAACGTATCTAGTGGATATGAAATAAATATCGTTGTGAATTTCATTTTAACACTAACTTTCTTTTATTCAATACTCATTGACTTTGGATAATATCAGAACATTATTAATTTATTATGGAAACTGTGAAGTAATCTATAAAAAGTGGACAATTGTGGACTATATATATATATATATATATATATATATATATATATATATATATATATATATATATATATATACATGTATATATATATATATACATATATAACTTTACAAAATAACTACAACTGATATGTGTTTTATAAAATAATTTACATCAAGTTTGATTAAATATTGTGTTCTGTATGTACTTTCAGAGAATGGTGCTTTGGTTTGACTGGGTTGAGGGGTTTGAACTTAACAAAACATGGCATGAGTACTTGAAGTCACTCACTTCTAGTCTAAGTTATGTTAGTAGATGCAGACTACTTGATTAAGGTCACCGTGACTATCATAACCAATGGATGGAGACTTTGGGTGACATAGCTCAGAATCGATCACAATAACGCAGCTGTATACACTCTTTGTCTTCTCTTAAACTATGAGAATAAAATTATTTTATATCTTTCTTTCTATCAACTAATTTTTTCTTCCTGTATCATATCCTTATACACAATCTTTTTTTTATATATTACTACCAGTGAAGTAACTGCTTCTATGAATCCGGTGTTGATCTTGATGTGCTAATAAGGTATGACAACTACGTTGTAGCTGACTTAATAACTGACTTAACTGAAGCTCACTACTCTTTGAACTGCATTTTTCATTTTTACATCTAAAATTTAGTCTCAGTTCAGATAATATTTCAACTCTTAAGTTAGAATACAATATACCTAAACAATTTTAATCAGATTCTACATCATTTAATAATCTATTTTAACTATATTTTTTTACTGGCTTGTCAAAACTTATTATTTTTAACCTGCATTCTTTTTTATTGTCACTTTGTTTAAACGTACACTAATCATTTAGTTATTTCATGTTTAAAAAGAAAATACATTATTCTTAGTTCTTGTTTTTTACCAAACTTATATATCAGTAGTATAGATATAATATTTGTCAATTTATTGATTAAAGTTTTCGAAAATTTCCCCTCTCTATTTGATTTACATAAAAGTACATTTCATAACACATGTCGATAGAAATCACTGTAATAATATTGAATGCCTTGAAAAATCAATGAATTGTAATAAAAAATTGTAATAATAATAATTTAGAAAGTGCTTTAGAAATATAACCTTTGTCTTATATTTTAAAACAAAAAAGTTTGAATAGGATTTCAATGATTTATCATTCGTCTTTTATTTTCAAGGAACTCGGCTTTATTCCTCCTTTGTTCCTCTTTCTTCTGGTGGTCGACTGGATTATGAAGACCTAGACATCTGAGGACAAACACGGAATACAATAGACACCTTAGAACCAATTAGACAATTTGGACTGCGCAGATAACCTAGCCCTTCTATTGCATACACACGAACAAATGCAGATAAAGACAGCCAGTGTAGCAGCAGTCTCTACATCAGTAGGCCTCAACATACACAAAGGGAAAACGAAGGTCCTCGAATGCAATGGGGAGAACAGCAATCCAATCACTCTTGATGGTGAAACTCTGGAAGATGTAGAGTCCTTCATATAACTGGGAAGCATCATCGATGAACAAGGAGGATCAGATGCTGACGTAAGTGCGAGGATTGGCAGAGCAAGGGCCGCATTCCTACAGTTGACGAACATATGGAACTCAAAACAACTTTCAACCAATTTCAAAGTCAGAATCGTCAATACGAACGTCAAGGCAGTTCTACTGTATGGAGCTGAAATGTGGAGAACTACTACAACCACCATCAAAATGGTACAAGTATTTATAAATGGTTGTCTACGCAAGATACTCAACATTCATTGGTCGGATACCATCAACAACAGCCTTCTGTGGAAGAGAACCAACCAGCCTCCAGCTCAATAAGAAATTAGGAAAAGACGATGGAGTTGGTGGATAGGACATACATTACGCAAATCAGCAAACTGTATCACGAGGCAAGCCCTAACATGGAATGCTGAAGGGAAACGGTAGGTAGAAAGGCCAAAGAACACATTACGTCGGGAAATAGAAGGAGATATGAAAAGGATGAATAAAAAGTGGAAGAAGCTGGAAGTGATTGACCAGGACAGGGTTGGATGGAGAATGCAGGTGATTGGCCCATACTCCTTCACGGAGGAGTAAAAGGCGTAAGTAAGTTTTTTTTCAAGGTAAATATTTAAAAGAAGAAACAAACAAACAAACAACAAAAAAAGAGAAAAACTGAAAACAATAATTTATTCCTTTATATAAACCATGAATTATAATAACTAATTAAACTTAAGTTAATAATTAATAGATTAATATTATAAACAGTTAATTTATTCTACTTAATTACATAATAATCTAAACTATTTTAAGTAGTTTATTCTATATAGTTTCTTAATTATTCACATTGTAATCTATTTATATTATCTTAATAGAAATAAATAAATAATTATATAATCAAATTTAAATCATCTATTCTATGATTGTAATGCTATAGAAGCTGAATTTAATTAATTAATCAATAATTATTGATGTAGTGGCTATGCTTCGTTAACCAATCACCCATGTAACCGTTACCATATAATCCTTAACGGTGTTTGAAATCGGAAGGCAAAGAGAAGCAGCGACCACAGTTTTATTAGCAGATAACTCAGACCAAAAAGTAGTGAGGCTAATGAGTGAGTCAGCGAACCGAGTGTGTATAGAGTGTGTGTAGAGTGTAAATGTAAATGTATATATAAATAGGGAAATGAATGGATCATTGAATCATTTAAGCAGTTAATAATAAAGCTAGCAGAATGAATATATGCGTAGGCGGTAAGCAATGTTCAAGCATACAAATTTCAAACAAGCACAACAATAATAAAGGTACAATAAATTGTTATAGTGTGGATGACTTTGTCCGCTAAATAAGTTAACAGAAGCGCTTAACCGAATTAGATGAGAACAAACTCAATTGCACGTGAGTTGCTATAAAAGTTCAATATCATAATTGATTAATGAATTGTTAAATTATTTATTATTATAGTTAAATATTTAATTAATGATTATATTTATTAAAACTTGTTTTTTTTTCATTTACTCTGATATGAATAACTATGTCAGTATATTAATTGTATAATTTTATGATTTTGAATAAAAATGTTTGATTATAAAGAAGGTTTAGTAGAAATTGTAGTAATTGAATTCATGAGTCGATTAAAACTAGATCATAATGGAAAGTCTAGAAGTATTAGATGACCGTTTGGTGAAAGATTAATCTCCAGATCACTAAGGTAACATTCAATCATGTTATTGTCTAATTTCAATCAATCCATAAAATTGTATTCGCGTGCAAGATCGATAAGTCCTGGGCAGGATCGTGAATGCTCACTTCTGAGGAGTCTCATACTAAGATGAAACAGTCGTCTAGTAATTTCATGTTTTTCATGATGGTTTAACTTTAATTGACTCATGAATTCAACTATTAAAAATGTTTTAATTTCTTCCAGATATAATTACAATTTAATTGAAATAATAAGAAAATTTTTTTTAATTTGGTAAAGAAAAATCTTGTCAACACGAAGTTTAATCTAAATATGTTTAAGTAATTGTACTGAAACTATTGTTCATTACTTTTTTTCAAATGGATCCAAATAAATTTGAAACGAATGATGGAATGTCTTTTTTAGATCTTTAGTAATACGATTAACTTCTTTAGTTTTCATAAACTAAATAGTTGTTTACATGTTATATTCCAAAAGAGAAAAATATATTTACATGAATTTATACAATGGAAATTTTAATATTTACATATTGGTTCGTAAAACATATACTTTTGAGTAATTAAAACCAAAAAGACTTGCATATTCTACAAATCGTTTTAGTAAAAGTTTTGTGCTGGATAACTCAAAGCATATAAGAGTATGTTATTATTGTAATCCATAATGAATCAGTAAGTATAACAAAACAAAATGTAATATCTTAATAAATGAATTGACATTTCTTTTTATTAGAAAGTGAAGGAATATAATTTATAAATTTTGAATTTGGTTTATTTTGGATTTGCCACTAAGAACTATAAATTTATTGTAACTATCAAAACTTTGCACCGGTTATAAATCAGAATAAATTTTAATTCATTTTTGTATTGTTTAATTGAATCTCTCCATTGATGTTTACGGCTATGATTGATCAGTCTTTTATTGGCATATTTACATGTGCTGTTAATAACCTCAGTTATGCTTCGGGGTATTTTCAGCTGACGAGTCCCGAATAGGACGAACCGCTCTTCCTGGATTTCACTGTTAGCTATTATCCATTTTTACTCAGAACGACTTCTCCTTTTTCTCCCTAAATTGTAAGCATTTTGGTAAGTTTTTGAAATAAGGAATACGTCAGCTGTTAACGATTCCTGTGTAGCAAAATTAAAATCATTCTTTTGAAAACTCATTATTTCATTCTGTCTGTTAACCGAAATGAAAGAAAAACACAGGAAATTTACAAAATTAAGTTTTACATATGTACATCCTCAATGTAAAAAATATTACTTACTGTCATATCTGTTAATTTATCCCAGTCTGGTTTTAAATAATACGTTATACCATTTAATGCTCCTTCTAACTGAGCTGTTCTTATAAGTAATATAATCATGAATATATATGGTGTAGTTGCAGTTATATACATAATCTAAAATGAAAACGAAGTAAACAGGAAGATGATTATCATATAATCAATCTTTCCGGAAATAAATTATAAATTAAATTAACATTACGTAACAATCTTTGGTTATTAACAATGGGTAAAATTACATCCAGTAGAAAATATGATTTTTGAACATGCAATAACCAAGTATAAACAAGGGAAATTACTTTTACATTGCACTGTACAAATCACAACCATCAGTTGTTTTCAATATTACTTATGTCTACAGAAGTAATGTTTAGTATCTTTCGTTGTTGTTTTGTTATATCTGTTGCGTAATCTTATACTTTTCACATTATCTACATTTATACCCACCTACTAAGTTGGTTTTGTCGTAATTACCTAATGTATCTATGCAGTTACTTATCACTGTTATTTTGATTACGTAATCAATTATTTTGATCATTATTAATTATGCTAAATTAGTTTATCAATCTTGATCAATATGCTTGGCGTTATATCTGATGTGTTTTTTCCATCTACAACGTTCAAATCAATTTAATCTGCTAGTTTTAAACCTTCAGTTTCTAATCGTCGGATAACCCTATACTGACTATTAGTTTACTGTCGACAAATTTATATGCTTAAAAGTTTTGTACACAATTAAATCTTTATGTAATTGAAATGATGCATTTTTTTCGTTGTTGTAATATTAACAGTACGCGTTTATTGATTTTCGATTCTTAAACTATATCCATCTATCAATAATACAATGAGTTATTGTCATTGAAGCTTAGCATAATGACTCACATTACTGTTATTCTAGAAAAAATGAACAAGCTTTAGCAGGACTAAAGCGTAACCAAGAATGAAAACTCGGAAAATAACTGTGAACATATTTAAGTAGTATAATGAATATAAATTTTAGCAATTAGCCACCTTTCACTAAACTGAATATAAGCCAAGGTTCATCTACAAAGATTACATCTATTCATGCTGTTGTGTAAATCATGTAAAAAAGAAACCTTAATCAGCACGATTATGACTAAAACATTGATAAACAATTTCAAACGAATAATTGAGCACTATCCTAGTTAGTACACTATAACATGAATGACGAATGATTTTTGTGTAAAAGCAGTGAAATTACCTTTGATTTGTTTTATCATTATTTATATTTTAAGCTCAGACTCAACGATTCTAAACGGTTTTAACATAATTTCATTTAATGATATACTAAATCCTAGGATGTACCGATCAGCTTTGAAGTTCATAATTAGATCACATAGAATGTGTATAAGCACAATTCATTGACAAATTATTATCGGGATCGTGGATGCGTACTGCTGAGGAGTCCCATACTAGGACGAAACGGCCGTCCAGTGCTTCCAGGTTTTCAATGGTGGTCTAGCTTCAACTGACTCATGATTTCAACTTGTGAAATTATTATCAATCAAGAATTCATTATTCATTAAATCTATTAAAATCATATCCAAAAGTAGATAAAACAGATATTTATGAGATTCCAAATTATACTTCTAATAAGATCAGCCAAAATTATCAGACTTCTACTTTTATTAACTTGTTAGATTTATCTCTTTTTTTTTCAAAATGACTATTAATTTGAATCAATCTGTTAAAGTTCTATGTGAATAAGAGTCTCTCTCTTTTATACTACTTAATTGCAATTATCTGGCTTGGTAATGACTTTAGAGTAAATCATATTATGAAATTAATTTTACTCATTTATATAAAACCTATGAGAACAATTAAAACCAATGACAAATGTTCATACACTATCCAAGATGATATAAACAACGTTGTTGAAAGAAAAAATACACAATTAGAATCCAGAAATCGTAAAATATTAAATTCTGTCTGATTGTCTCCATACATTATAGTTTCAATCATACTATAACATTCTATAATGTTTAATTGGTAAAAATATTGGCAAACAGAACATTTAGTTCATAGAAAATCACTTCACTTCATATTATATATCTATCTTTATAACTAATATATTCATCTAGGGTAAAAACTTAACCTTTATGGGTTTTAATAATTCATTTATTCTGTCATTAAACCGACTAGGAAAGATTATTTAATTATTCTTTCATTATAATCTTACATTAATTAGAAATATTGTTAAGGTATAGTATTTTTTTTTACTGAAATAATAATTCTTTCTAATTATTAACTAAATGTTTGATATACTACTATTCATTCAAGTAATAAGTTAATAATAAAGAAAAGAATTATTCATATGTATCATTGATTAATTTTGTTATCAGTAATAATCTATTCTAATGTTCTCAATTGTTTATATTAGAACAGTAACTACATATTTCATTTCTATATAATATTATTTCAATAAATTTATAAACTTACTTTTCCAGATGTTTTTATTCCTCTACATATTGCTAAAAATATTATTGTCCAAGCTAATAAAAGGCATAATGCTAAATCCCATTGAATTGTTCCTAAATTATCAATACCATTTGATATTCGTAAGACACGATTTCTATGATTAATGAAAAGATATAAATAACAATTATTAAATAACTTAATTAGTATCAGAAGGGGGTTTTGTGGAGAGTGTAGTAATTTCAATAGTTGAGATCATGAGTCAATTGATGCTAGACCACCATGGAAAAGCTGGAAGCACTGGATGGCCATTTCGTCCTATTGTGGGACTCCTCGGCAGTGCGCATCCACGACATATTCCCACTAGTGACTGGCTTCAGTAGGTATTTCATGGAGTTCTAATGAGAAGCAGTGACCAGTGGAGTTCAACCGGGTCAGTTGTGAGATAATAGCTAACTGATGACAATAGTGGATGTGTCTGTCAATTTCTTGGATTAGTTGAAGTTAAACATTAACACCGATGGATGCCGACTCAGTGGTTTAGTTAGTTAAGCGCTTGGCGCGAGACTGATATGTTTTGTGTTTGAATCCCGCGAGGTGGAATCGTGGATACGCACCACAAATAAAATGAAACGGCCATCCAGTGCTTCCAGGTTTTCCATGGTGATCTAGATTTAACTGACTCATGACCTCGACTGTTGAAATAACCTAATTGTTATTATGTATTTAGTATATATTTAAGTACATTTGGAAGTTATTTATTAAATCTTAAATAAACAATAGAGTTTATCGGCAAAATAACTTTAGAGTAAAAAGAATAATATTTATATTTTTTTGGATTATTTATGTTTGATAGAAGTTGTTTACTTCAGTTAGATTAAATTAATTTTAGCTAAAATAAACATTATCAATGTATATTTCCATTTTCAGTATAGAGTCGTAGAGATTATTGAGCTTTATTCGATATCACGAATCAACCAATGTTAGACCACCACAGAAAACCTGTAGGTACTGGACGGCTGTTTCGTCTTGGTATGGGACTCCTCAGCAATACACATCCACGACCCTGCACTCAGGATTGAAACCCAGAACCTTTGACCTTGCGTGCAAACACTTAACCTCTACATGACTAAGTCGCGTATTACGGTTTTTAATTGTGGTCTAACAATGATCGGTTCAAGATCTTAATTCCTATTTTCATCGTTTCTTTGTGTCATATGAAAAATAAGTTCATGTGCAAACGTACAATTTGTTTAAGTGTTAAGCCTCTACAAACAACTATAGGTTATTTTCAAAAAATAAATATTAGGACACAATAATATAGACTTTTCACGAATAAATATCAATTAAGGAATTCATGTAACGGGTTCCCTTCACAAATTTAAATAAAGCAAGAATAACAATATTTGCAGGATACGATGAATTCATTGTAATCCGTTGTTTGTCGTTCATCTATACACAAACTAATGCATAACTGAAGAGCAAGTAACAAGATACAATGAATTCATCGCATCCTGAGAACAATGTCGTTCTTGCTGAATTTAAATCAAAGAATTACTTGACGTCGAATAGGACACTTAAACAGGCAATCAACTTTAGCTCTAATAAAATAATCACATACGATTTAACCGTCCCAGCCGTTTATTTATATTCCAGATCACGGTTGACTTCAACTTGAAAGTAGATAGTTCATCATTATTTTAACCAGTTAATATCAAAATTTAGTCTACGTCATGTTCAGTTACTTAGATTAGTAGCCATATTTCAGTGAATTTCCGTTAGCACTAAGGACTACAGAAATATGACAATAACCACTATTCAGTGATCACTAAATAGATATATTGTAATCATGCAAGGAGTTATTTACAGCTCCAATAGTCGAACACTAACGTCCCTGAAATGGAGTGAACAAAGTTTAAACCTCACGAGGAGTACCAATTACGTTAATACAGGAGGAATATTTTGGTTAGGGAGCATAGGTTCAAGACTTTGAATTATTTATTACCTAACATTCTCCAAGTTTTTTAACTCGACATTTTGTTTTCATTAAAGCTATTAAATAAATCATTTGAAAGATATAGTCCTAAAATTATATAGCATATAGCCATGAAATGCAATAGAAAATGTATCATCAGATATTGGTATCATAAAGACGACTATTTCTAAGCTTAATTTCATACATATAGATAATAAACTATTTATATACGATTGTTATTTACACACAATTACAATGACGTAACAATATTGGCAACTTTTCATTCTATTCACTTTAAGTAATTTGTGATTCATTGTTTATAATTTATTGGGAACGCGTTCATACAATAAACTCTATCTAGTATCATATATTACCGTTAATTTATTTACATTTTGAGTTCAAGTTTGTTTTTGTTTTTTTTGTTTTGGACCAATATAATGAGTATAGTTTTCGTATATCACAATACATTCAATGAATTTCGTACTGAAGTTGAAACATCAGATAAACAAAAAATAGTCTCAGTAAACTAACTATGATATATTTTAGTTTCTAATTCTATACACTAAATAGAAGGTATTCGTTAATATTAGAAATCATTAGAATCTCATAATGAGCTTTGAATATCAATCGGATTCATATATAATAGTGAACGGAAATTTGGTGAGCAAAACCAATTCACAGTGTTTTATGGAAGCAATCAGTGACGTATGAATGATTTCTTATCTGTATATGTAAGTTTAATTGTTTCAGAGAAAATGATATAGAACTCTATTTTTTCAAAGATTAATTTCAAAGAAATCAAATGTTAATATACAAGTACATAGTTTATGAATTTCTGTTAGTAAAGTTTACAGGTGAATAAATGAATATTTTCTACGTTTAAAGGTTTATATCATGTAAATGGATAGAAGTACAATTTCAATTAATGTTTCTTGTTATTTGAGACTTCACACCTGGATGTATCTACACCTCAGTGGTGATGCTCACACTGAAAATTGAAGACAGTAACCATCTTTTTAAGTGTAAAAGCTTTATAATAATAGGTTTTGATAGTTACCAACGCCTATTTCTAGGTTAATTTATTCATTTATAACAATAAATTAGATTTCTAATGTACTACAGTTCAAATAGTGCTTAAGTTTTATTTCTCGGAGTTTTCATAACTTAAAGTTTACTTGATCCATTTACATAAAAATAACTTCATTGCGCTAAAAACTGACTATCAACTTCCAAATTTTTACATTTAGAATTTAAACCTGTTAGTTATCGTATCTCTGTTGAACTAAACACATTTTAATGAATTACAACAGAATACTAATTGCTTATACCTTCTTTAAACCGTCTGAAGCGTTTTTGACGTATGTGGTAGAATCGATCTACTGAAATATGTAAGAAGGGTAGCGAAATCAGTATTTAAAAGTTTGGTGTAAAGCACTATTTAACGGAAGATATTTGTACAGACATTTTTGATGAAATTTTTATGAGATCTTTATTTTATTCAATCTAGACAATTTTTTTCAATGTCATATAACCTACTTAATATTAACGTATACTTTCACAAGTGAAATCTATAAGTAAGTTGATTAGTAGTAAAGAATGTTTGGCTAAATCTTTAAAATAAGAATTAATGTTTATAAGAATAAAGTAACTAATAAAAATAATACGTTAAGCTAATAAGATCGCTAGCGTGGTAGCACTGAGAACCGTTTATTACAAGTTCCTGATGAGTGCTTACCAAGCAGCATTTGATTAGATCATTAGCTGCACCATATGAGTAAACACGTAATTTAGTCGTGTAGAATACAAAACGACTAACTGAGCCCCATGAAGAGAGTTTCGGAGTATACGAACTCACTCCCAGTACTCTGAAGCAGGATCAGCTCCAAATATATGTTGACGGAGAAGTGATGTTGAATTGCTTAAATTTGTTCTCACTACAGCATCAATACATGAGTTAGTATTCCAGGAATGTCCACATTTAGCCCACGGAAGTTCTTTACTGAATGAAGCGAAAATAAAATGAAATGCCCAACCCAGAATCACTGTGTAATAACTGTTCACCAAAAAGTTTATCATAGTGCTAGCACATCCAATACCTGTGAAGTAAAAATAAATACAGGAAAATTTAGTTGGGCAGTTAACATAAATTGAAGATATTTCTTTAATGGTAAATCAATATCCGGCTTCGTAAATTTTAAACACACATACCTCTAAAAAGTGGACAAATATCCCAGGCTGCAATAGCTCCTTTAGACATAAACTGACCCAAAGCAACTTCAAGAAGAAATAATGGTACACCCGCAACGATCACACTGACGAAGTAAGGTAGAAGAAAGGCTCCTAAATAAAATTCAAAAAGTTCTTTAATATGTATCCTTTGTTAGTTTTAAAAGTTTTATTTGAATAAAACAAGGGTGGACGTATTTTATTTGATAAAGAAAATCATGTCTTCACTTCATTCATCGATGAAGTATTTTTAGTTTGTATATATTATCACAAGATCTTATTTCTCTGAAATATCATCAACTTATTGGCAATAGAGATGTGGGTAGTTGTATTATTATGAAATTTATCGCATAAATCTGGGAATTCGTATAACGATAACACCATAATATCATAGTGGTTTTCAAATTCTAAGTAAATTACTTGAATTATACATTATTTTGTGAGATTTGCAATTGAATATGGACTAACCAGTTTCTCAGAAAAAAAGATTTATGAATGAGATTTTCTTTCAACTCTGACGAATTTGGGACTGTCTTGTTATCATCTCGAAATCACCTTTTTAAAAGATTTTCGTACATAATAAATATTATTTGATCATGTATTAATTATGGAAGATTATAACCCTCCTTCACGAATGTAGGAATGTCTAAAGCATAGAAATATTTAAAGAAGCCTTAAAATTACCGCATCATAAATAGAGCATCCTATGATAAAGACATCGATAGATTAGCTCTGATCAACAGATACATTGAAGTTTCCTTTATCAACTTAAAAGGATGTTAAAAACAGAATGTATACACCCTGACTCAAAATGTTTTTCATAAATTTCAAACCTTATCTAAATTTATCTTTGGAAATTCAGACAACTCATTAATCATCATATATATTCTCTTGTTCACATAGACCCATAGTATTCTCATGATAATTCATTTTTTTAATATTTTCATCAGGATTTTATGAAATTTGTCAACCTGAATCCCTTTATCATCCATCTAGGTAAATGCTAATACATTAGTGAATAATCTTAACCAAAGATTAAATGTCCAGTTACTGATGATATGCTTCTATCAATTATTACTTATTTAACAATGTATGTAATAATGATTATGGTGAACAAGTTGTTTGATGTCAGTAATTAGTGTAAATGTTAAACTTCTTATTCTGTTCAATGATTATCACTATAACAATCTAAGCTGCAGCATGATAAGAGGTGTTTTCTTGAATTTCTGCTTTCAAAAAACATAACGACATTATTTTTTTCCAACAATTAAGAAATTTCTTGTGTGAATATCACACAATCAATGTTTAACTGAAAAGAAAAGTGTTAAAAAAGTACAGTACACTTTATATGTACACTCTAAATCTACTTTAAATTATGTAAAGTAACAAAATGATCAGATTTGAATATATTTTGGAAAATCTGTATAGTATGTAACACTATTTCACATGTTTTTTCAGAATAATTTACACAAAATCAGCACAAATATATATGAACTTTCGTCTTCAGCCAGTCAGTAACAACGTAGAACTTTGTATGTACGTACATCAGTTCGAGTTGCTATACCACATTAGCACAGAGATACAATTGTCGATTCAAATCCCGTAGTGACAGAGATAGTCAAAGTATAAGCTGTAATCGGAAAGATTAGGGTTTAAAGAGGTTATTCCAGGAGTATAATCCAGTGAAATAAATTTGGAAAGAGGAAAAATGGATATGAAGGAACTTTCGTCTTAATATGATCGAATAATTTCATAGTATTTTGGGCGTTGAGTATAAAGTCTACAAATGTTTACTTAGTATGTTTCAAAGATGTTGTACGATACTTCAGGATGAAATTATATCTACCATCCACTCCCTGTTATTAATACAATTGTATACAGACGATAAATGTTTAATCTTTATTATATTAAAGTTTAATAAGTCACATGTTAAATCAAGTAAACTTTCTAAATTAAATCATGAATAAGACGATATAATTTTTTATCAATAAAAAATCCACCATGTTCCAATTCAAGGAATGATTGATTCACTAAGTTTCTAAAGCATTTAGTCTAGTCTAAAAGTCCATAAACGTGATATGAACAAGAATGTTTGTAACATTAAAGCCTTTAAGAGCTCTTATTACATTTATATACTTAATAATTCAAACTTTCTTTGCATTATTCATGCCTAATAAATATGTTTTACCTATTTCAAAATGTATTTCTTTTCAAGTTTTTGTTTCTTGTTTTAGTTTGAAAAGCTTGAATCTATTGAGTTACAAAAGCTGTCTAGTTATAAGATACAAATGCAGATTAATATTAATACAGATTTTCTTCAGTTCATTTGTACGTTTTAAAATTACAATGAAAATCTCTAATTAGTTACAATTAATAAGGACACGAGTAGGGATGATTGAATTTATTTGACACGAAATAACAGAGCATCTCACTAAAATCTGAGAACCATATAGTAAATAGTTGATTTGCAAAATATCAATCCATCGTTCCAAACTTGACTTTTCCTTTTACAATTATCAGTCCATTGTCTCGAATTTTATTCTTCATGCATTTTCATACTAATTGCGTTCTGTTCCGTTTTTTCCTTATCGATCTTCTACTGAAATACATTCTATGTCTAACCACCGTTATATACTACTTATGTGGATATAAGTAAGCCACACCACACGTTGACTAATTAAATTTATTATTTAAAAAAATATTTGTGAAAAAATGTTCATAATACAATGGGTACATTGTAAATTTGGAAATATCTGTCGAATTCAATACACAATTATTTAGTATAATTAACTACTATGGAACTTGTAGACAGTGATCATTTTAGTTAATGTTAAATAATGTAGGATCTAAAACAAATAGACGTTTGTTGAAATCACTAAACATCGCATCAGTACACAGATAAAGGAACTCAACTATATGACCATTTAAAAAGTAGAGAATATAATATCAACAGTAGTAAACATCAAAAAAAAGAATATATTTTGTGAAGAACGAATTAAAGTAATAAGATAATGAATGAATTTAAATTCACTATCCAGTTTTTAACCACATTATGTAATCTCAACTATAGTTTACGGTTATTGAATACACCTTACAAGAGGGTATTTTTCAATGTTCAGTTACTTTATGAGATGATTTCATATTCTAATTTATTTAGCACCGACCTCTACTGTACTCAGCACTTCAGAATTAATTTTAACGCTACCAGTCCGAAAGGGTACACCAAAAATGAGAAATACTTTCAATTAAGTCATGTTCAAGTACTGAAAAAAGCCTACACATTTTTTCAAATTCTCAGGAATGTATTTTCCCAGGCAGATAATACTCGTTACGGATTTGATAGATGGGTTTTAATCAAGATTTAAAGTTAGAGAATACAGCTTTATCTGTTCGTAACTGATAAATTATCGTACAAATAGACTTCATAAAACTCTATATGGTATACATCTCTTATTATTACCATAATAATTATGGTATTATTTTACTACTATATTTGACAAACTCACAGTTCATGAAGCATATAATAACATGGTACATAATATTTCTGAGGTGTAATGATTGAATAACATTCAAAGGAATTAAGTTATGAGACCCTATATGAATTGTTTTTAAAATAGATAATCAGTTATTTTTCTGACTTTTAATGAACTATTTAATTGAATTACGAAGTGATTATTAGAAAATAGCAGAATAATAACAACATTTATATTCAGAAAACATCACATGGTAAAGATCTTTTGGAATATTCAAAATGATTTAATTAAACTACCCAAACGTTTGTAAAATATGTAAATATATTTCAGTGTCATATGGGCTTAACCATTCAGTGTTTTAATTTACTTGTATATAACAGATTTTGCAAATATTTAAAAATATACTGCATTTTTAGTTTACAGTGTTATTATACCTTTAAATTAAAACTTATGAATTTAAGAGCATTCCAATTAGCAACCGTTATTGTGGTTCTATTTCCGAAAAGCTGAATGAGTGATAAACTTAACCATATTATCAAAATAATTATAAAATATTTTATTAATTTACCTCCACCATTTTTATAGCACAAGTAGGGAAATCTCCACACATTACCCAAACCAATAGAAAATCCCATACATGCTATGAGAAAATCAATTTTTCCTTTCCATCGATCACGTTTTGTTATTGTTTGTGATGTTGTTTGTGTTATTGTACTCCATGAAGCGAGATTGCCCAAATTATCTTCTGATTTGAATGATTTACTTGGATCTTCCATATAGTTATTATCAACAGTTAATTTATTTAGTAATTCACACCGAAATAATAATGAAAGCTTTAAGTAATATTTATTCTGTACTGTATATGAGTTTACTACTGAATGAATATTCTAACGCTTTTGATTGCTTGTGATCATCTGGTTGTTAATTGGATCGTTATACGATTGGAGTAAATTTCCAAATAATAGAGACACTTTTATAAGTTATTTAATTATGTAGCAGTGTAGTAGGTATAATAAACAGTTATCAGATAGCAGTTGTTGTTGTTGTTGTTGTTGTTGTTGTTGTTGTTGTTGTAGAAGTAGTAATGGTGAACCCTGAATTATAACAAATTATATCCACAAACTGTTAAAAACCATATTTAAAAATATAATTTTTTATTTATATTCAAATTTTTAAATTGGTGAACTTGCCCTTTAATTTATAAAAGCCAATCAATGAACGAGAAATCTAAAAACAAATAAATGTTCATATACACATTCACAAATTGAACCAATAGTCTTTTTGTGTATAAATAATATTAAATCTTTTCAACCAATCAATGAGCAGTTAATCGATCATATGACCTTGATTAGTTTGAACTACAAAAGAGCACCGAAATCAACTATCATATCCATTCATTGAGGAATTGGTTGATTTGGTACTAGTTTGATAACATTCGAGTGTATAATTTATGCTCTAAGGATTTTAGTTCTTTTTTCCTGTTGAATTATTTATTTAATTATGTAATGATACTGTGTAAAATTCAGAGGAATTTGGCTTGTATTAAACAAAGTAGATTTATCCATTATTTTTCGGTCCATTTGTAGAGAACACGAAAACCAGTGGGGACAATCGGATGTATTTGACACAAACTAACAGGATTTGTTAATAAAATCTAATAATCAAATAGTAAATACGTAATTTGCAAAATATCCATCAATTGTCTCATAATGACTCATACTTCATTGTTCTTGAATTTCCATACAAATTGCATTCTGTCCCCATTCTTCACTGTTCGATCCTCTTGTCTCTCTGCTGTCAGACATTCTGTTCCTGACTAACATCATCTACTACTTTTGTCAATATAAGTAGTACATACCACACATTAATTAAATAGTTAAGTGTCTGTGGAATTGTTTGTGGAAATTGTCGTAATTTAATGGTTGGATTCATTCATCGATTAAAGCTAGACCACCATGAAAAACCTGGAAGCATTGGACGTCCGTCTCGTCCTAGTACGGGACTCTGTAGCAGTATGCATCCACGATTCGGCACGTGTGACTCGAACTCGGGACCTTCAACCTCGCTCGCAAATGTTTAACCTCTAGACCATTAATTGACATATAACAGTGTTAATTTCGAACTAAAACCAATCCACAAGATTGCGCCACTGTCCACTAATGTCTTCAGTGTGTAACTACCTCACAACATACATGGTTTGATTCTATTGGGCACATTTATTCACTACAACCCCGGGATACACATGTTGAAGCCAGTCACTAGTGAGCGCATGATAATTATGATCAGAGTGAGAGTTTGTGGAAATTTTAGTAATTTAATGGTTAGATTTATGAGTTGATTTAAACTAGACCACCTTGGAAAACCTTTTAATAGACTTTAAAATTCCTAATAAAATATTAACTAATGTGTTTATATTTTAACTCTTTTGTTCAATTCCACGAATGCATATAACTGTACAAAATGTGTCACACAGACAACTTTCTTGAAATTATAACATTTTGTTTCTTCTATCACAATATTTTATTTATTGACACATTTCTTATAGAATGTTTAACCGCTCAATTCGCTAAACACAATGAATACATTTATGATTGAATCGTTCAACTCACTGAAGACAACGTTTTCAAAAAATGAGGATTTTTAATTTTAAAAAAATATCAGTTTCATTCTACTTTGAACGACTTATAAATTTACTACACTTTAATTTTCACTAAGTTTAATCATTTTACTTTATCTTCATACTATTCATTAATTCATACATTCATTTATTCATCCTGTTGGACATATGTGAAAAGTATATAATTAATTCAATTCATTGCTAATTCTGTAAGAAAAGAGAAAATATTTTTAAACTGTTTAACTAGAATTTATACGAATATTTGTCAAGATTAGAATGAATAGTTTGACAGAAATTGGGCGCCGAATATAAAGAAGTCATTATATGTCAATATTATATTTGAAATAATCTCAGCGATTGAAATTCAGGGTAATACCCTGAAGACGTTCAGACCAGTTACCTGGACAAAACGTTGGAATTATTTAAATTCCAATCACGAAGATTATTTCAAATATAAGTTTCATCTATAATGTCAAACTAGAAGTTGATAAATAAAATGATGACGAGACTCTAATTTATGAACCACCTTTGAACGAATCTTAAGTGACCTTGAGAACTATTAGCCAGTCAGCAAACAGTCAGAATAGAGTAAAAATATACTATACAAAACCAAAGAAATAAAGTGGATACACGTCTTATACATAGTTCAAATACTTGTCAAGATTAGAAAGAGGTTCTAAAATCGTAATTTATGCATTAGATGAAATCATCCATATGGCTAAACAGTAATCGACCTCTGGAGCCATGATAAAGTCTCAAAAACTCTTTTAGTCTCGACTACATAGCTTCAATATTGTTTGTGTGCATTCCGGTTGTTGAATACACAAAATGCCACCTGTGGATAACGACACGATGCACATAACCAAGCCTATGCAGGAGTCTGTAAGCTCTCCAATCATCCGCATATATTGTCGTACCTGGCTGCAGCCAGTGTTACTGGTGCTTTTATTATCCAGTTCGCAATAATTGTCGTAATTTGCCTTATTTAGTGATTATATATAGGGTTTTCATTACGAACTGACATCATCTATAATGCCAGAAATTTATCTAGCCAAATGGATGAAAGACTTTCGCACCATAATCCGAGATCTATTATCTTACACCTGATTGATTCGTCCACAAATTATAGTCTCACCTTTTTATTTTTTATAGCCACTCAATTATCACGTTTTGTACAAAATTCCCTGTGAACCGATCGTACGTTAGCATTAAGCGCTGAAGTTGGCGCTGTAACTATGAAATCTCTAAAACGCCTTTGATTGGCTCGTCCATAAATTAGAGTCTCGCTAAAATGATATACATGAATACATTACTACAATCAATAAAACTATCCCATAGCTTCAAATGAAATAGAGTTCTTTTCATTCTTTTTTCGTTTTTGTTTTATTTTGTTTTGTAAACCAGATTAGAAATACCTCACCTTTATATGACATTTTCACTTATTGATCTTTACAAGTATGCACCAAACATTTCTAGAATGATCTATATTATTTTTCACATCTGTTTTGTAACGTTGGAACAGAATCCAAAAAAGGCAGACTATTTTAATATTTAACTGTTTTACTATTTTAAGACTAAATTCATTTCTTGTTCTAATTGAATGGTGTACTTCCTTTTACAAAATAAGTTCCGTATAGATAAATCAGTAGTGTTTTGGTGTGTGCTACTTATATTGACAAAGGTAGTAGATGATGTTAGTCAGGAACAGAATGTCTGGCAGCAGAGAGACAAGAGGATCGAACGGTAAAGAATGGGAACAGAATGCAATTTGTAGGAAAATGCAAGAACAATGAAGTATGAGTCATTATGAGACAATTGATGGATATTTTGCAAATTACGTATTTACTATTTGATTATTAGATTTTATTAACAAATCCTGTTAGTTTGTGTCAAATACATCCGATTGTCCCCACTGGTGTTCTTGTTCACTATAGTTTCAACTAATATTCCTATAAAAGTGTGATATTTAGTATTTTATGAACATTTTTTTTCTTATCAATTTTACAATACTGATATCATAAAAATACTAAAACCTTTTTTAAAAACTATATTAAATAATTCCGCTCAAATATTAAAACAAAAATTTAAGTTGGGTGATAAAGTATTTTCAGAAGGGGTTTTGTTGAGATTTTTTAGAAATTTCACTGAATGAAATCATGAGTTGTGAGATATTAACTCACCGAAGACAATGGTGTACGGTGGCGCGACTACGTGGATTGGTTGAAGTTAGACATTACCACCATTGAATGCCGGCTCAGTGGTCTAGTTGGTTAAGCGCTTGGCGCGAGACTTATATGTCCTGGGTTCGAATCTCACGGGGTGCAGGATCGTGGGTGCGCGGTGCTGAGAAGTTCTATACTAGGACGAAACGGCTGTCCAGTGCTTCCAGGTTTTCCATGGTGGACTAACTTCAATTGACCCATGATTTTAATCAGTGGTGAAGTATTTCATCTCTTAAAGTTAGTTCCTTGTTATGTGAAGAATAAAATTATTACTAAATAAATGATAGTCGTCTAGTGATAATAGCTCATTGTGTAAAAATGTGAGTTAGATAAGTAAATCGGCAAAAATCGTTTGATTTTGTTTGTAAAGTTAATAATATGTAATTAGTAGAACGAGTGTAAAGATAATTAGGTATTCAAATTATTAAGGTGAATAGTTTATGCAAGAATAAAATATAGAAACTAAAATTAAGTAAAAGTGTGAAACTGTGAGAAAAGTAAGAGATAATAAGTAGAAGAATATTCTAAAGTCATTGACTGTACAAATTTTCTCTGCACACAAAGATTAGGTTAACTGATGCGTGTAAATATAGCTTCTGTAGTACTTTAAAGGTGGATTCTAGGAATAAAGGCCAAGTTCGTATGGATGTGATGACTGGCAACGATTAAATGTAACAAAACTGAGCTTCTCATTGTTTTGTTTTATCCTTTGGTTAATCAAGATAGTGGTATTTAGAAATACAATGAAGTATTCTCTTGATTACAATCAAAGATAATCATTGCTCAGATATTGTAAACCTAGGCAAAACAACAACACAATACCTTCTGATCTTCAGTAATTATCCAGTTAATGTGAGTTTATAGCCACCTTAAAAAGTTGCATATTATAAAACATTTGAAGAACAAGACCAAGTTTTTCAGTATGAAACGAATATATTCTATTTCATGGCTTATCATCACCAGCAACTAATCTAAAATCACAGATTATTAATATTATTATAATCAAAGATCTGACATACTTGTCATTTACGATATAATGCACTACACATTTTTAAAACCAGTAAATAGGATTCATTCTTTGTGTTCCATATTATTTTCAACAAAGAATATGATAGAAATGATATAAATCCCTTCAATTGACTGAATGTCTTCTAGGAATGTTATTTAAGCAAGTAAGAAATAACGATCTACTGAAAATGAAGTCATCAATTGTCATAAAACGTTATTGGTAAGAGAAAAAAATTCATTGATGAAGTAATAAGCAATAAATGTGATAACCAATATTGTAAACATAATGGATTATGAATACAGAAAAAAAACCCAA